CAATATTTAAAAGTATAATCAACTTAAAATAACTAATGAATGAATAATTATCTACAATTATCTACGCTCTTTATTTCTAGCCTGAATGTTTTTCTATTTTCAATAAATTGCTAAACAAATTAAACATTTTTGCAGCTCCTGAAAAATTTTAGCACATACAAATATATTGCTTTGTTCGTATATGTATGTATGTATAGCAATATTTAAAAGTATAATCAACTTAAAATAACTAATGAATGAATAATTATCTACAATTATCTACGCTCTTTATTTCTAGCCTGAATGTTTTTCTATTTTCAATAAATTGCTAAACAAATTAAACATTTTTGCAGCTCCTGAAAAATTTTAGCACATACAAATATATTGCTTTGTTCGTATATGTATGTATGTATAGCAATATTTAAAAGTATAATCAACTTAAAATAACTAATGAATGAATAATTATCTACAATTATCTACGCTCTTTATTTCTAGCCTGAATGTTCTTCTATTTTCAATAAATTGCTAAACAAATTCAAGAATTTTGCAGCTCCTTAAAAATTTTAGCACATACAAATATATTGCTTTGTTCGTATATGTATGCAATATTTAAAAGTATAAAATAAAAGTTAAAATAACTAATGAATGAATAATTATCTACAATCCAAGCATTGTGGGTGCTTCAAATATTTAAAAACTCAACGAAAGGTATTGCCTTAAACTTGTATGCCAGGACTCTCAAGCTGCAGGCTTGATCCTAAAAGATTATACAAGTATGAAGAATAATCTGCTAATCAGCTTCTACTGTCTAGCAATCAAAGTCCATTAACAACCCATAATGGAAGATATCCACTTTTCTTGAAACTTTTGCTTAAGAAAAGGAAAAAAAATAAATAAACTATTATTCTATTTATAAACGATTGATTTTACAAGGTGTGTTCCAAAGTAAACAGGACTTTTTAAAAAAAGAACAGAGCAAATGGTTTTTTAGGCAAAATCAATTTATTTTATTGAAAATAGTCTCCTTCTGCTTCAATACAGCTTTTTGCACGATCCAAAAGCATGTCGAACGAGTGTTTTAGCTCGTTGGCCGGTATGGCCGCCAGTATGCCGGTGCAAGCCTTTTGAATGACCTCTACGTCTGCATAATGCTTTCCTTTCATGGGCAAATACATTTTTCCGAAATGGTAGAAGTCGCACGGTGCTATATCAGTTGAATACGGCGAGTGATTAATGGTTAAAATGTGATTTTTGTTCAAATAATCGGTCACAAGCGTCGATCGTCTGAGCAATTTTTGGTCGTCAGTCAATTTGTGCGGAACACACACCTTTGTAAGCCCAAATGCGCCCAAATGGTCAAAATGCGATAAATCGATGACTTGGAGATGTTCAATTCCATTTCCATCAATTTCAATGATGATATCGTCTGATTTTTGATGAATTCACGCACAGTTTCGATGGAATTTTCGGTGATCACGGATTTTGATTCGCCCACATGTTGATCGTCATTTATGTCCTCACGACCACTTTGAAAACGTTAAAACCACTCGTGCACTCTGCTACGGGATAGGCAATCATCGCCATAAACTTGTTCCATCAATTGAAACGTTTCGGTAAAAGTTTAACCAATTTTAAAACAAAATTTAATGTTGGCTCTTTGTTCGAAGCTCATTTTCGCACCGATAACACAAACATACTGACACTTAAAACGCAATAACTTCACTTCCAATCGATGAAATGTCATGAAATTCTCACTGGACAGTCGATAAAGATAGCAGATTCTAACGCACCAGTCGACAAAAAGTGAAAAAGTCCTGTTTACTTTTGAACACACCTTGTATTTACAAAAAAAGTTATTCTCAATGCAATCCATTATTAAAACGAACAGCTACAGCTTAACCTATGGACAACCGGTATTGTATAAGCTGCCATTAGTATCTTCTTCTGTGGGTACTAAGTTGACATTCTATAAGCTGTTATATACATAAGTATTCAAGGTCGTCAACCTCATCTCATCAGGCTAATTAAAAATCAAATTCTAATAAACTGGTAACGACTAAGTGTGTATGTTAATTTAAGAACTTCTTCTTTTACTTGAAACGCGATTGGATGAGTATTTATCCTTTACTAAGCTACAATCTGGCGGCAACTACTCCTTCCCCTCCCCCAAATAGTGCAGAAGCAAACATTTGGTGACGTTAGCAGTCTCATCACATTGCAGTGACCGCAAAAGTTAGCAGCGCCAACAATTTACTGCTCCCCATCCTGCTCTCGTGCTGCACTTTCCTTCCTCTGGGAGGACTGCGGTGGGTGGAAGGATATGGCTGCTCACTGACCACAGACGTCGACATCGCACGCGCGCACGTATATTTAACATAAGTAATATTAATACCCATTTTTGTTAAAAACTAACGTGCATTTTTTGTGCTCGTGTGTCGCTCGCGGGAGCAGCAGCAGCGTAAAAAATTCTTTATATATTAAGTGTGTGTGTGTGTGTGTGTGTGTAAGTGTGCATGTATATTTTGTGTGTGTAAAATTATTATCCTTCACGCTTAATATGCAAAAGCGGAAGCCGTCATTTGTACGAAAAGCGACAGCGAGCTCAGAAAAAAAAACGAGAGAAATGAGAGAAGAAAGAAATAAAAACAAATCAAAGCATTAACTACGCTACGCCGAAGATTAAATATCCTTGCAAACCAATTCAGGCGAAGTAAATGGTCCTTTGGTGTATGCTTTAAAATCGGGTTTAACTTTTTGATATTTCAGATTTGCATTGTTTTCCAATTCTAATTAGATAATTTGACAATTGGATTTAGCACAAAGATAACAGAGCGTTTCAATCTAAAGACCTACTTTGATTTTTTGATCTAGTAATAACTGATAGGATATAGTCAGCCAATATGTGTAAGATATTGTCTTCTTTCAAAATATTAATTATATAGCATTAACACAACATTATTTATAATTTAAAAAGCACCAACAATTTTTGCCAACAGCTTTAATTTAATCGTGCACTTATTATAACTTTTAATAATTGTTTTAACTGCTTGTAGTCATACAAAACAACTGTGTTGACAATATTGCTTTAGCCATATAAGAAAAGCTTTATAATACTTGTAACATAATATTTATTGTTTCTTCTTTTTGGAAAATCCACAATAAAAGCTGCCTACGCCCTTGGACATATGAATGGATGGACTAGCCGGAAAATATATATAAATAAATCATATTATGCGCAACTTGTATATATTTAGGTTACGAATTGTAGACAAAAGCTATCATAGCCCTTTGAGAGGGTATTAAAAAAAGCTGACCAAAGGATAGCTATTTAACATGGCCACGCATGGCGCTTCTGCTGCTGCTTCTGCTTCTCCTGTATATACATACACACATACATACATACATATGTATGTATGGCGGCATTTTTTTTATGTCAACGTCGTCTACTTATGCGCCACATGCTCATATATACGTGTGTCCGCCATTTGTACGCATGTCCTTACAAAATTAGTGCCTCTTTTTTTTGTAATTCTTCTCTTCTTTTTTTCTGCTTTTGTAAGTATGTAAGTACAATTTTTTTAATACATTATTTGACTGCATTTGCATGCGACTAGCGCCGCCTCCCAAGCCCGAGTGCGTTGATTTCCTCATACTATCTATGAATATGTGTGTACTCGTATATTTGTATATGTATGTTTTTCAGTTCGCTTTCCGTTTTGTTTTTGCAACTGTTTGTGCCACTTTAGCGGAAGTATCGTGCAGCAGCGGGCACCCCTACGATATTGCATTGGGAGCCTGACCATTCGCCCTTCCGCCTCTCCCCCTTTCTTATCATTTTTTTACACAAATTATTTTTAGCTTGACAAAATGGTTGTATGTATAAAAAATTGAATACGTTTTCTCATGCAATGCGGCTGCCACTTCATCTCCCTTATCCTTTTTCTCGATGCCACACTCCCACTGCCAGGACTGGTTAATAATGTAAGTGTTTAAGATTGCTTTGGGTTCGGGTCATGAGACTGGACATTGTTAGTATCCCGGGCTGACTGTACTTATTTAAATCGAATTCCTATGACTGTTCTTATATATAGAGTTCAAACTTGTTGACTTGTGAGGAAACACTCCATGACTTCATAAAGGGAACGGAAAAAGATGAAGGCAATATTTAAACGAATAAAAGAATTACACAAGTCTTCGTCTTCCTGGACCCTCAATGCCCCAAAGCTTTTTTCATATACTTGTATAAGTAGTATACATATTATATTGCAAAAAAAAAGCCAGTTCTTAATTGGCATTGAGGGGTTTTTTATGATTTTTCACAATTTCGCTTCATCTTTTATTTTGTAGTGTTTGCTTAATAATTGATAATATTGTTATCATAGACTTCAAGAGTTTGTATTGCACCTCTTCCATACCCCTATGTAATGCTGATATCTGGTATAAATACAACATAACTAGTTTAATATCGTCTAGACGAACAGCCTTGCAGGCTTCACATCTCTCAGGCGCGGGGTTTTTCCGTTGTATTTCTGGTAGATAGGATTTTAGAGAAAGAAAAAAACTAATTAACCTGATTTTCGGTACTTCCATAGCTCCAATATTTTCAATTTTACAAATTATCCTTGTGTCCAATTTTAAAAAGCAGACAGATTGGGTAGCATTAAATACTATATACTATAATTATACTATAAAATGAATACTGTAACAAAACTACAATATTAATATTATAATAGTACTGTTGTAGTAAATTTATCATAATAAGACTATAATTATAATATTTGAATAATAATACTTGACCCTCAAATTCAAGAATAATTTACACCTACAAATTCTATGTTTTAGTTGACCCTTATTTGTAATAAAACTTTTAGTGGAACATTGAAGTTCCCATTTTTACTGACAGCAAATAATTCTTTAATATTAAATAATACTTACAAGTTTCATTTTAAAAATACATTTCATAAAGAGAAATATTTCATGGGTACATCAAAAGTATTTGTGGTGAAAATATTTGGTTAATCTCACTTCTTAGTACGTGGATTTGGATTTGGCTTCTTCTTTGAGGTATTTGATTTTTCGGCCTGAACTCCAACAGCGCCTTCATCTTCGGTCGGCATCATTCCCATATCAATATCATTATCATCAGAATCGTCCCACTTTTCGACAAGTTCTCCTGTGTAGAAAAGAATTGCTTTTGGAACGATATGGGTCCGAAAGAAATCCCCAATTATAAAGTCGACTGCCAGACTACTATTAATGTGTTTGAATTCCTCCTTGCTGTTAAAGAAGTCAAAGAAAGACGCTCGACGAACGACTATTGAAGTTATTTGTTTTTTCTTCTTCTTGACAATGGTCTTTATAGTCAAGTTCTTGTTAGCATTCCACTGAATAACAGACCCTTCAGATTTGTAGATTACCGGCCCTTCGTAATAGAACGGATAATCCTCATCCACAGTAACAGTCTGGAAATATTTCTTTGTAAGAATCGCATTTGGGAAAAAGCTGTTCTTGTCAAAATGGAATTGAATTGTAAACGATCTGTCAGCATCATAGTGAATAGAGATGTCTGTAAGTTTTTTTAGGACTGGCTCATCATGTTTTTGAATAAATTCCGGAATCGTAATTCTGAGTACAGTCGACCAGAATCCGGGAATGCCCTTACACTTTTTGGGAACACTATTGAACTTTTTTAAAATCTTGGCGAAACTCTCCATATCAAAGCGTTCGAGAAGTTGCTTGCCAATTTTCTTATCACCAGACTCAATCCAATTGGGAGTCGTCTTGGGGACTTTAATGAGGCCGTTTATAATTTTAGAACGCTCATCATACAATGCCTTGAATTGTTTCTCAAATTGTAGTTCTAACTGTTGCAAATCGTTATAGAATTCTGCCTCCACTTCGATTTGCTTGTACTGCAAATTTTTCAGAGCTACAATTTTATTTTGAACAGCAATCGGCAAGAAGCTGATTTTTTCATTGATGTACAACCGTCGGTACAGAGTAGGCATGACGTCGAATACTTGTTTGACCGCCCTAAAAATACAAATAAAAATGATTTACAATTATAAGCAAACGGTGCGCTTTTATGGGCGAAAGAGTTTGGCAAAAGGCACAACTTTCAAAGCTCAGTGTGCTGCCTTATTTGCTTCGCTGATGAATGCAAGCAAATGGGATAATGGAGGCTCTACTGTTTGCCAAATCAAAATCAGTTCACATAAATTGCACAATTCAAGGTTAGGAGCAAAATATACACACATATGTACGTATGTACATACACATGTACATCTATGTATATGTGTGTATGTATGTGCATGCTTGCAGGTGCCAGCCCAATATGGCTGCGCAAGCGCATTTGACAAAACGAAAATTGAGAGCCTTCACTTAAACAATATTCAATTCACTTACTCTTTATCCACTTCGAAAACGTGCTCCTTATTCTTGTTTGCACTCATTGTGGAAATAGCTGCTTATTTATTTCAACAGTTAAGCAGAATATAACAGAACGCAAAAGTAACACACAAACGATGCGAAGACAGGCACACCAGAGAGCAGCCAGCACATCGAGATAACTCGATAGATGCTTATATATCGACTACGCTTTTGTTTACTGCTACAGTACTCTAAATCGATAACGAAGCATTTAAATGAAACGCTTTATAATACTACTCTATACATATAACAGATTGGCATTTTATTGAGAAAATGCCCCTTAATTATGGCTAAAAAGGATGGAGCTACAGAATTGAAAGGCCAGTACGCAAGTACGCATTGTGAAAAGCGTATGGTATTTTTATCGACACAAATTGTGGTAATTTTCTTTTCTTTTGATTACTATTATACTTATACGCAAGGGCGTTGGCCAAAAATTTAGCCATATATAGTCGAAAACACGTTCATTATTATGACGCAATATTTCGCCTTAAAATGGATCTGAGTTGGATTTGTTGAAGATTTTCCATTGATCATATGCATGTTATTTTTTAAATGCATCATGCATTATTTAACCAAAATTTTAATGTTTTTTCCCTCCCCTCTTTGGTAAAAGCTGCCTACGCCCTTGCTTATACGCCCATGTACATATGTTAAAATTTGTGTAACATTTATATGTATATTATACTGAAACGGTGTTGTGTGTGTGTGTGTGTGTGGGGGGGGGGGGGGGGGGGGGGGGGTGTGGAAATTCCAATATTCACATTTTCATCATATTCACATAAGGCATCTCGGACTAAAATTTGGTTCCCTAGGTCTCCGAGATATGGAAAATGTCCTCTTGGTGAGCAGTGGGGGGGAGGGGGGGAATCAAACAAAATAAAACAAACTCGTATAGCGTACACACATAAGGCATCTTTGTGCAAAATTTGGTGGCTCTAGCTCTTATAGTCTCTGAGATCCAGGTGTTCATACGGACGGATAGGCAGACATAGATCGGCTCGTCTCGTCAAAAATATATATACATTGTGGGGTCTGCCACGCCTCCTTCTGCCTGTTACATTTTTCACCTCCCGCAAACCTAATATACTCTAGTATGTATGTATCATGTACAGAGTATAAAAATCTGACTGAGATTTGTTGTTGCAGAATAGATCTGCTATTGTTTTTGATGGAAATAACATTAACAATCAAATCATATTCGTGAAATTCTACAAAATATCTACTTGCTATTAAAAAAACATCAAATGTTATTGAAAAATCACCATTATTGGAGCTTCCTTTAAATTTATTTCCGAGTGTGCAGTTTTCAAACGTGGTGTGAAGATTGGCAATGGAGATGACCAATAGGCTTCAACTTTATCTTCTGTATTATTTACATCAAAATAGATTATCTTTCGAATACACTTTTAGATGAATAGAGCAACAAATATTTAGATTAGGCCTTGTCCAGTTCGATAAGCTGAACATCGATGCCCTGCTTGGTTATGATGTTCACAATAATGGACTTTCCAGTGTAGGTTTGACGATTGGCCACACCGAATGCGTATAAAGCTACGTTCAGAGCATATGTCTTGGTTATTTCATGCTTTCTGAACTTGAGCAAGCGGCCAATACGCTCGTGCAGTACAGGCCTCAAGAAAGCATCAGCCGAACCGCCGCTAGTATATCTCTGACGCCTGCAGCGACCGATGCCATTGTAGGTATAGACGATTCCCTCTCCAGTCTTATCGATGCCAACCAATATGTTGCACAGGCCGTGCGGTACAAGCTTACATTTGTACATAGCCATGGAGAGTTCATTGGCCGCCGCATTGGTGGTCATTGTCTTAAAGTTCTTGAACTCGTAGGTCTGCATGCGACTCTCAATCAAACGTTTCACCAAGAACGCGTCGCCCATGGGTGCCGTAGAACCCAATACCGTTAACGGCGACAGCGCAAAGATTTTATCATGGCTGATCAAAACTCTCCCGGAATTGGTGCACAAGCGCGCGTCCGCTACCACAATCGCAAAATCAATGCCGGCGATGGCAACAATCGACCTGTCGAACAAATTAAAAATTCAGTGTGTAAATACATACATATATTACATACATATGTACATACATACATATGTATGTATGTACATATGTACAAAATAGGCAGATTGCACATGCGCTCACCCAGAATTCAACTCAAAGGTCTCAACATCAGATTCTTTGAAGGTGGCAGTGCCCAAGTAGTGGGAGAAATTGTTTAAGAAGCAAGGATGCATTTTTAATTTGAATTCACTATTATTTCATAAAACTTTGGTTATATGCGATATACTTGTATTTAGCACGTTTTTTACAGACGCGAGCAGTGGAAAGCGTTATCGATAACTAAAGTATATCGGCATTGACGATTCGTCAACAGCAACGGTCAGGTATCGTTTTGATTTCTTAGTAAATATCTATCAGGTTTTCCACTTCAACTATCAAGAGTAGGAGCAATTTTTGGGTTCAGTATCATTAATAATAGTCTAATGATACTAAATGGTAATAATATTTACCCCTTATTCCACATCACGAGTCACTGCATTGTGACGAAGTATTAATTAAGTAACAAGTATATACTGCCATATTTGATTAAAATAACGTATTACTGGTCACATGCAAGGTGTTATTCCTGCATGATTGGATTTGATAAAAAAATATTATTAATCGAATACATATATAATCACTTGACTGATCGAAAATTATCTTATGAGATTTTTTTATTTAAAAAACGTAAACAAAGAGCACACGCGGAATGAGGAATGCTGTGGAGCATCAAAGCCTTTATTTAACACATAAACATATAACCTCTAAAGACACTTTGGGATTCAGTAATTGGATCCGAATAAAACTTTACTAAGTCTTTCGTTATATGGAAAAACTTCCTATCCCATTTGGCTTCGCAATCTACATAAAGGTAATAACTTTTTAGCTTATCGATCCCGAAATTAAACGTCTTGGATCTGGTGGGATCTGACACGCATTCTTCAGTCTTCAAACACTCTTTCATCCTACGAGTACAGTTCTGATGGTTCCAAAAAATGTTGCGTAAAAAGAAAACCGTGTAAAAAAGACATTGATCATATGTTATTTTGCATCGTGCTAAATGAAATAAAGTTGTGCAACCATACATATATAAAATGTTTAGTTTTCAAACCGTGTAAAAACAGAATTAGGTGAAGTATCGAATCTCACGGTTAACTGTGTTTCAAAGATTTTGAAAAACATATAGTAATATAGCCTTTAATACCTTGGATATAGGGTGTAGCTTACCGCATTTACTGAAGGCATTTCATTTTATTCATTTGTATGCTTTTTTGCAACCTACTTCCTTATGTCGCCACGCTCTCTCTCTCTCTCTCTCTCCTTTCTCTCTCTTTCTGCTCCTCTCGCCCATGGTTCTGCGAGGCTGTGTGGGCACAAATCCGTTTCCTGTTCTAGAGACAATTTAATGTTGATCTCTTTTGCTGATGTGTCGTTGCTGTTGTTGTTGTTGCTTCTGTCATATCTGCCGCTGCCCCTGCCCCTGTCCGTGTCCCTGCTGCTGGTGATGTTTCTGCGGCTGTACGTGTCGCCTTGGCACTTCCACTGCCACAACCGCTTGCCACTGATTATTATTCCGCTGACCATTTCGTATTTATTTGAAAGGCATTTGCCGCGCTCGCAACAAACCCACATGTATGTATATACATATGAACACACATGCCTGGCATATGTACGTCCTCGCTGGCCCCCTCCTTTGCCGCTATCTTTGTCGCTGCTGTCTCCTCCACCCACAAGCTTGCCGGCTGCTGGACCAGTTGGCCGGTTGGTGGCAAACAAAACGACATATTCGTCCTGCATAAATGATGTAATTACAGCGCAAGATTTTTGCTATGAGCAATTTTTATTTTAATTTCTCTCGTGTTTTTTTCTTTTCATTTTTGTTCTTCTTGCTTCGCTGCCTGCCCTCAGTTTCCCACTTTACTCATTTAGCCGTTTTTATGTTGTCCTTTTTTTTCCATACGAGCATGAAGCCCCTGTCCTAGTCCTGCTCCATTCTGTGCACGTTGGCTGCTTCGTTTTTTCTTTATCGCTCGTTTGCCTATATGCTTCTGAAATATTTAGCATGCTTTTATCATAATTTTAATTAAATGCGCAAATGACTATATAATTTATGTTTGTGTGTGTAATTTCTTTTTTTTACATATACATACATATATATGTATGTATTTTTTCACACCGCCCACACAACTGGACCTCAGTCGTCCATTAGATTGATGAGCACGGAAAAGGCGTTTTTAATATGAATGCTTTACACATACAACATACTGCCGGCTTAGATTGCAGCCGGAAGGAAAAAAGGAAACCTGATAAATATTCGTACTTTCCAGCCGCTCAGCCTCATTTATTTTGCTCGATTCTCGAGTGGTTAAGGAATTACCCTACATGGGTCTTAAAAACTGTTACTGTGAAAAAAGCTTCGCCTAACCTGCGCTGTTTCGAACTCTATGACTAAGCATGGATTGCTGCCTTTTATTAATTTCCCAACTGTTTTAGGCAGAGTTCAATAAAATACCAGACAATTTTGTGCCTCAATATTCCGCCTTAAAAGTCAAATTTTTCTACAGAACCCCGCTGCGGGCCTTACTCGAAAAGTAAATGGGTAAAGGATTCATATTAGACAAATATAATAACATCATATTATATTGCCATTGCATTTAATTTGTTGATTTCGTATTTTCATTGCTTGATCCACTTGTAAAAATACTAGTATACTTGTATATTGTATATAAGTATGAATAGCTACTCTTAATAGGCCCCGTCTACTACTTACGGAATTGGACCATAAATTCCACATGTCATTTCATTGGGGTCTAATTAGTACACTGTAGTAGCTGCTGCTCCTTCAAATGCCGCTACTCAGTGTGCTAATTAAGAATTATAAACTTTTGCAGGCTCTGGCAATTTTTAATACCTTTTCTTGATTGTCTCGCGACTTGGCGCTGTCATAACCTTTTTTAAGCAACAATATTTAACAATAATGCTTATTCAATGTTCAACTGTCTGCCCGAGCTCCTCCTCCATCCTTTCTTCGGAACTCTAGGACGACAGTCTGGTCGCATTTGTAACCGCCACATAATTCAACTGATTTTAATTAATTAATTTATGAATATTTGTAGGTATGCATAAATACCTTCCCACCCGCCAACCCACCCACCCACTCACCCACCTACCTATGTTGCAAACCCTTAATGAAAAAAAGACAGCTCCTGGTGAATGAAAAAACCAAAGTTTTCTCGGGTTGGCAAGGGGGAGGTTTTTGTGTTTTTTTTTTTCATGATTTCTTAGCTTTTCATTTTGCAATTAATTTCCAAGCTGATTTATGTAAATGCAAGTTATCCTTTATCTCTATCTCTTCCCTCTTTTAATGACTTTTCCCCCTTCGACGCAGTCCTGCTTATGGACTTACTAACATAATTTTTATAGTAGTGGACCTAAGCAAATAGTAGTGCAGAGAAGCCGCAGCGTACAAATATCGAATCGGTGGAATTGCCCATTTTTGGGGGAGTGGCCAGGGTTTTACAGTTCGAGAGCCTAGCTCTGTTTGCTTGACCATAAATTTAGACCAAAGGCTCGCGCTGGCGCTGGCACTGGCGCTGTTTGTCTTGCTGCCGTGAACCTCCTCCTTCCTTTTCTCCTACCCGTTCGTGTTTGTTGTTTTTGACTTTTTGCCATTTGTTAATAGCCAGGTATTTGAAAAAGGCAGTGACGCACGTTGCGATTATTTTGGAAGGATACGATTCGCTACTTGGTGCAGATTTTGAATATTACTTGGTGTCCACAACGTAATTTTAATGCTTATATTCCGATTCCTCCTCTTCATTTCTTCTTCTATTCCTATCTTTCTCTCTCTCTCTCTCTCTCTCTCTCTCTCTCTCTCTTGGAAAAGGTATAATATGCCTTACATTTAATATTTCTTCTTCATTGCACTGTTTTAACTTTTTTTTGCCAATATGATGACCTTTTCACTATTTCTTCGCCAGCTGGTCTTTCTAACTCGCCTTTTATTTGATTTATTTTATTTCGTAAATATATTATTTCTCACTTCCTCTTCTTCAGCTAGTCTCAAATTTTGTACCCTTTACGGATATTTTATTTTATTTTATTTTTATTCAGAATATCAACAAAAATACAACTTAATATAACAATTTTATTATAACACTTAATATAACAATTTAAACTAAATTTAAAAGATAAGAAAGCCTAACACAAAGCTGCACAATGGCGTCTATTAATGCCTCTGAGACGTTGGGGGAATTTTATTTGCCAGTTGGCCAGCTATGCCCTTTATCTTTAGCTTATACTAAGTATATTATAATATTGTTTTGATTTCTCTTATCTCTCTGTCTCATCTTTTATCTACATTATTTTTACGCATTTTCTTTTGCCTCGTAAGCCGGCCAATATTTCATTTTTCTCTCTGAAATTCTTCCTTTTAAAAGTAATCTCTCCTCTCCTATCTATCTCTATATCCATCTCTCTCTCTCTCTCTCCTATCTATCTCTATATCCACTCTCTCTCTCTCTCTCTCTCTCCCTATCTATCTCTATATCCATTCTCTCTCTCTCTCTCTCTCTCTCTTGTTGTTCTTTGGTCGTTAAATGTGTTCTCACTTTTTCTACTTTTGTTATATTAAAGCGTTCTTCGTATTAACTTATCCTCTATTTATCTAATCTTTTCATCTTTCTTCGTATTAATAAATTCTTTATTTTCTGAAAATTTCTATACAAGTATGTATTCTCTTTCAACTTGTTCTCATTCCACACTTAGTCGGAATCTAAGCTTCGTTCTCTCCCTCTATAAGCTCTACTTTCTTATAAGATCTGATTTCTTATATGTCCAGCTGAAGAGTTCGTTTTAAAATGTCTTCAATTTTATGTTTCTTCCTCGTTGTGCGTCTCTTACTCTTGCAACATTTTTAGCGCCTCTACCCTTATTACATTTATTATCTCAATTCCTTATTTCATCGCCCTCGTCCTTACCACTTACAACTACTTCTCGCTTTTTCCTCGCACTCTGTTTCATAGCAGAGAGTATCCTTTGAGCCGGGTTGGCTCGTGTGAAGGCGCCCTAAAGCGAACGAATGGCATTTTCGTTGGCCACTCGAACGGTGTCAACATCTCTGGCGGCTGTTCGTTAGCTGCATTAGTCGGCGGTTTAGCTAACATGGCTGTTATTTTTGTTGTTGTTGCTCCTGCTCCCGTTGTTGTTGTTGCTGTTGTTGTTGTGCGTGCGTTTTTGATTTTTCAACACAGGTAGGAGTGGCACCTGCGACCGTGGCCGTCGCAACGTTGTTGACTGCGCTGCCTTCGAGTAAAATAAATGATAATGGCCTCAATGATTATGCATCGGCACGTTTCTCATCGCGTTTGCATACATATACACAGACACCTGTGCGAGTGTGTGTGTGTGTGTGTGAATGTGTGAAAGGATTCAACGGGCCATTCGCTGCTGTTTTTAGCTTTGTGGCGTTTAGTCATCGTTCTTTGTTGTTCTTTTAGCTGCTGTTTTTGTTGTTGTTGCCACTCCCTTGCCGCCGCCCCCGCGATTTGCCAAACAAATTACAAATTGGGCTCTACTATATACATACATACATACATATGTATGTATGTATGTGTGTATATTTATTTTTTATGCTGCCGCCGCGTTTTGTCCGTCTGCACCTAAAAGCCAGCTCCCCACCCCCCTCCACCGCTCGCTTTCCCTTCTAGCCAACCCTTCCGCCATTATTTTTTATTGTTGTTTGATTTTCGCGGTAACGCGCACGTTTGGCGCCTTTTAGCCTTTCATTTCATTTAACACGCCCGCCAATGTTTGCGGCTGTGTCAACAAATAGCCATCCATGCCCGCCACCCAGAACCTTCCCATCCAAATCGGACAGCAGAGGAAGCACTTTTTCGCCACAGCTATAAATGCATTAGAATATTATACTGCATGGATCGGTGGATGTTGAAGAAGTGCAGAGCTTTAATAAAGGCAATGAATCGGAAGCAACTGGAAGCTTGTCGTGTTTCCAAAAATTATTTATCGCGATGCTTTTCCGATTCAATGTTGAATTCTCATTCAAAAGACTAGAACACCAAATCGGTCATTTCTAAAGCGAATTGTAAATAAGATTTATGGTGTTTTATTAAGTAGAGAGAGAGAGAGACAGGCGAGAGACGCGAATCGAGAAGCTTTGAGTCTCTCTCTCTCAATTGCTTTCGTAGTCTCTCCATTCCTCGATGCATAATAATTCACGTTTTGTTAAAACTTTCCCAAATCCAACTTGCTGTGATAGAGATCTGCCTTGATGCCTTCATGCATGCGTCGATATTGAACTTAAATCTGCATCTGAACATTAAAGACAACACATTCCCATTGAAAAATTAAAGGTACTTTACATTATTAGTTATAGGAAAAATCAAATGGAACCTACTACTCTATACATATATGTACTCTTGAAAAACGCTCTGCCTGAATGAGAGTTTGCGAAAAGCGTTCAGATTCCATTTCTGGTTTGTCGAATTACGTACAAATTGTTTATGTTTTGAAAATATAAAACATTGCCTAATTGTGCATTTATGTATGAAAAAACAAATATCCCAAATAACAAGAATGCATTCAGAAAAATAACTAGGTTGGCTTCTAAGCGAGTAGTCTGAGCTTTTCTAGTCGAATTGAATTCAATGTTATTCCTCATAATATACCTTAGAGGGAATGGAATTAATTAATAGAATAATACATATTGATTAATTTATTAATAATTGCCTCATACATATAATAAACTATTCATACATTCATAAAAGTATGCAAAATAGAACGGAAGCTATGCAAACCGAATCGCATTTAATAAATGTTTAAGAAATCAACAATAATTTTCCCAAATATGCTCCAGAAGGAATGATTTTAAAACTATATACGATTAAAGCTGCTGGACAGCGCATCGTTTTACATCTAGCCAGCAAGCCATGACTTAGCTGTACGATTCGAACAGCTATCTGTAACTTATAGACCCTACTATATTCAGTTCAACTCAGACACTTGGCAGGCAAACAGCTTGCAAGAAAAACAAAAAAAAAAATTGTATTTCTATTTCTATAGAGAACTTTTGTACATTTTGTAAATTTTTAAAAAGAAACACACACACAAAAACAAGACACTAACCACCCATTAATAGTACTAAGAAGACTAAATAAGTGGTAAGTGTGCGAACATCGCTTCTGGCTAACAATGATCTGCAATTATCGCGTCGTCCTTTACTCCGGCAGACTAAGATGAACAAACCAAAAGAAGCGGATTGTAACGAGCCAGCTCAGAAACTGACCGAACCCATCTGTGAGCCACCGTTATCGCCGGTGGTTCGCGCCCGTGGTTCCGTCGTTGGCACCTACGCCTTCTATCAAAAGAAGCAAATGGCTCAACAGCTAAACGATAGCGATGACAAGGCCGAGCAGAACAACGAGATGAACAAGTTGGACAAAACAAACATAATGGATATAGACCAGAAGGCGGGAGTCGGCGAGGAAGCCCTGCTACCCTGGCCACCACACAATCGCTATCGCAGCATGGGCGAGCTGCTGGGTATTGTCCAGTCCAATGGACGTATTCAAAGTCTATTCATGTCACGACTAGCTATGGCCTTCATGCGCATTTTCAGGCGCTAGCCCATCAACAGCTATCTGAAGTAGTCGTGTAGGCCAATATTTCAATTGGACGGACCCCCCCCCCCCCCCCCCCCACCCCCAGTCAAGCATTCCAGCAATCCAAGCTCCTTGGCAAGCCAACAGCAAACTGAGTTCCTTAAATGGCTCCCCACTTTCTCATCAACCGAAAATATTTTAAGCTTTGTAACATTTCGGACATAGATCATGAAGCAATCCTTGGACTGGGCCCAAATCAACAAGTTTAATTCAAGTTTTAAATAAATTTCGATTTCAAGTTTCGGCCGCACAGTAAAACCAAGCAATGACTTATTCTTTAAAAGGCCACACTATGGCTAACCGCTTACTATAATTTGTAGAAAAAGAGAGAGCTAAATGGTGAATATTGTTGGGCACTTGTTGGCAGGAAAGTCGTGAGAAAAATGTGCCTAAAAGTGGTAGTGTTTAAGGACTTGAGAGTGCTTGAAGTAATTTCAATTCACAAGTCGGTTATATATGACAAATAATGTCTGCTGGTAAGGATTACAACGCTTCTGATTCGGCAGCATTTAAGACCAATATAAGAGCAGTTGTATACAAAAAATTTACACAAAACTTGAGCGAAGCAAAAGCTGAAGGAGACGAAAAGGAAATGCAGCTTTAGGGATTAAAATGAAATAATTCAATGGCTTTGCTTGAAAAGTAAAAATTAGTACCGAAAACATTAAATACTGAAGTCTATTTCGGGCATTCGGTTATTTTGATTCTCTGCTCAGTGGAAATTAAATTCTTCTCTGCATATTTCTGCATATTCCCCATATATGCGCTACTCCAGTCAGGGGCGGGCTGCAAAGGACTTGAACAGGACCATACATAAACCGTTTAAGTGCATTAAAAGCGCATCGCGCTGAGCCGCGTGAGCTGAGGAACATGCGACCAAATCACAAAAGGACCAACTGCAACAACAGCAATAACAACGACAAAAAATAAATAAAAAAAATCAGTTTTTAAAACTAAACAGCCGTTCTTTGGCCGCTGAGACCGAGGGGCATGTATGCAGGGCAGGATAGGCAGGCCGAGCATTTAGAAAATAAATTTAGTTGAACAAATCTCAGACGAGGATTCCCAAAGGTGCCGCGCAATGCTAGCCATGGCGACGACAACAACATAAAGGGTCGTTGTAATTGTAAGCTGCCAGGGCTGTCAGCTCAAATGTGGCTACAAATAATGAGTATGCGCCACCAAAGTGCAGTTCAAACTAAGGACTGTAACAAAGTAATTGAAAAGAGCACTGCGAGTGTACATCTCTTTAATACTCTACAAAGGACTCTCTGCCTCTACAAATGCCTTGAAGTCTAATTGTCTGCACCATTTTTAATGGATATTGTAAAGGGCTGAGAAAAAATAAACAGAAACTTGTTTTAAAAAATCAAGCTGATCATACGAATTATACTTTAATTAAACGGTTGCAATTTATATTAATTTAAAATAAACTTAGAGAAAAAATACAATTATAGCTTAAAGTAGAAGTTTACAATTTTATATATAATTTATAAAAATCAATTGGCAAGGTCAACGGGGTGTGACTTCTTTAGCCTTCTTCTCACTCTAGTTCTTCCTTGGCTTAAATAATATTTGTTACTTGTCTTGACTTACTTTTACATTAAAAGCCGAACGAAGTTCTCCGCCGGATCAGTTAACATAACATATTTAGAACAAATTGATTCTATTCGTATTTATTAAAAAAAAGGGTATGATTACTATTTTGTATGAGCATTTATTTTCAAGCAAGATCTAGTGGCCCTCTCTTATCATATTTGCTGTTCAAACAAGGACTAGGAGACCTTTATTATGTATATATGTAGTATATGTATTTAGCAAACAAAATAATATGAGAATCATTTTAGGCATATATTGCTCCTAAATGGTTTACTATTCTCTATGACCATTCGTCTGAGACAAAGTGTAGTTGAGCTGAGGTCCTTTTGAGCTCTTCGATGTTTAAAGAAAGGCTGGAAGACCTAAAAAAAATATTTCGTACAAGAAATAATGTGCGTATTACCATTTGTTATAGCCATGGTATTTAGTTAGATTTGAAAAAGAAGTTAAATAAATTTCTGATAATTAGTTAAATAAATGAAACAATTATGTAAAATTATTCTGGAAGACGCAAATGTGGACTAAAAAAGTTATTTGAAGTGGGTCTGGAACCAACAAATCTTTGATGGTTGTATTCTTCAAGACAACAAAATGCTGAAATCGAAATGAAATAAAATTCCTAGTTCAAAATTTTTGGTAATCAGAATACTACTTGTATATCGTAGAGGTATTCCAGCTTAAACAAGTAATGCTTGCGGAAAAATTGTTAAATGAACTCCAACAAACATAATGGCTATCAATGAATGCATCCTGTTTCTTCAAAACTGAACTATAAACCAAATAAAATACGTTGATAGCCAACTTTTGAAAATCCGACTCAAGTTAATAAAATTACTGTAATTACTATTATTCAAAATAAAATTTGATTAATTGGGTAAAATTGAATTCCTCGGAATTTACTTAAATTGTAAAATGATAGAATTATTGAAATTGCGATTGATAAAATTAAAGCCATTACCCCTCCTAGTTTATTTGGGATTGATCGTAAAATAGCATATGCAAATAAAAAATATCATTCAGGTTGAATGTGGGCGGCGGTTACTAAAGGATGGGCTGGGATAAAGTTATCTGGGTCTCCTAGTAAATTAGGATTAATTAGAACTAAACAAATTAAAAAAATAGTATAATAATAAACCCTACAATATCTTTGAATGAAAAATATGGGTGAAATGGAATTTTACCAATATTTGAATTTAATCCGATGGGGGCACGGTTTGTTTAGACGACTTTTTCTGGAACCAATCTACCGTATATATGTATATATTGTATATATTTATGAATTGTTCATATTGCATTAAAGTACGAGTATTTTTAAAAAAAGAGCTCGAATGCATTTAAAATCGATTTAAAATTATTTTACTGCAGTTCCTTTTGTAAACTGGCAGCTGTTGCTCCAATATTATTATCTGAAAGAGTATACGAAAGAGTATTAGCAGTGTTCATAGATTTTTGTAGCTAAACGAATTTGTTGATCGTGGCTAACACAGAGAGAGGCAGAGGCCCTCTAGCTGGACCCCAACTCTTTGCTCTGTTGTGTGATGTGGGGTGTGTGTTGTCCCCTTTTTAGAAATGCCAAAATATAATTTTTGCGTGGATTTGCGTTGCCACAACAATAACTTAAAGTGCAACAACAACAACTACAACAAATGTCTCTGGCACTTTTGCAACTGCTGCGACGGCTGCTTATCGCAACGTCGACGTCGCTGCTGAAGTCAACGTCGCCGCCAGCACTAATGTGGCCTATGTGGCTCGGCTCGGATCTGGAGCTGGGATTGCATGTCCTTCTGTGAGACATAATTTTTAATAATCTACAATGTGATGCCATGTGGTCGGGAAGTGGGGAGCTGGGGAGCTGGGGGTGGTTGCCAAAATGGCAGCTGCATGCCAAAAAAAAAAAAACACAAAAAAAAGAGAGAAGAAACGCTCACATGCAAATGGCTTTATTTAATACAAACACGCATACAAGTACATACTATACATACTGTATGTATGTACATATGTATGTATATGTATAAGTTAGTGTGTGGGCATAATATTTTTATGCTCCCCACCAAGGTGTTAAGAAATATATACAAATGCGTGTGTGTGTCGGCAAATTGCCTCGTCTAAGCTCGAGATTGATGCTGCAGTCGCTGGCGCTGGTTCCGACGTTGCCACGCCCACTTAAACGCGTGTAGGTGGGCGGCAATGTGGTAATTAAATTATCATGCCGCCGCGCCGCCAACTTATAAGCTTACCCCAACAGTGTGTGTTTGTTTGTCTGTTTGCTGTAACTTAAGAGCCCGCCAGTAAGGGGTTAACATTAGCGCTCTCTTTATGACCCGCACACCGGCTTGATAATAAGTGTGTGATTTGTTGCTGCTGTTGTTCTAGTTGTTGTTGTGGCTGCTGCCTATGATTAGCATTTGCATTGCAATTTATGATGTCGCAGCCCAACAACAACAGCAACAATTATAAGAGCTGTGCGCAAGCGCCTTCATCAGGATAAGAAATGCCAAGCAAATTCGAGTCAAATACTCATAACTGATTCGACAACCCGCCTAGATTATGATAATCCCATGACAGATCTTAAGTAGGAACTAAAATACAATTTTTTTTAAAATCACAAATAATAGTAATAAGAAGAGATGATCTTCGATCAGAAGATGATTCTTAACCAATTAGACAAACCACAATATCAATAAATGTTCTTAATTTCCAAGCAAATGGCAGTCTGCTGCCAATTAATTCTTCCAAAGATGATCTATTAGGTTTAAATCTTCTGTCACCTGACAATAGCATTTAATGAACAGCAGAATATAAATCACAAATAATAGTAATAGGAAGAGATGATCTTTGATCGGAAGAATGTTAACCAATTAGACAAACCACAATATTAATAAATATTCTTCCTTTACAAGCAATTTGTAGTCTTCTGCCAATTAATTCTTCTAAAGATGATCGATTAGATGTAAATCTTCTGAACGGCTTTATAAGCAAACATGTTCCTGTCTGGAAAAGTTTCATTTAAAGTTGAAATTGTTCATCAATTGTAATGGTGAGTTGAAGTCAGATTTGTCCTTATTTTCCACTTGACGTCTGTTAACTGATTTTTGTACTGACCACCATACCTTTGAGATTATTTATAGCGAGGAGAAACTCTACTGGCTGGCATTTTCTAATCACAGAAAAGGAATTTTAAAACTGTAAATCAGAACACTCAAATACTCGATACGGAGTAAGCTGGGCTCGAGTATGAACAGCACGTGCAATGGAATGGGAAAGGACATTGCTTTAGAGAGGCACTTAAAGACTATTTAGATATGTATGTTTGCGACTGTGGCTGTGACACAATGTCTATGTGTGTGTGTGTGTGTGTGTGTGGCCGGCAGCAGCAGCTGTTGCCCAAAATGTGAACTTAGAGTGTGCATTTCATTAAACAGGAGACAAAAAACATTACTTTTAAAACGCGATAAAACACGTTGAAAAACTGCAAATAGTTGCAGAAAAAAAACGCAAATGTTGCGCATTAAAAAATGAATGCACATACATATACTTGTACATATGTACATACATGTGTATGTATGTTCCTATCAAGATATTTTTTCATACATATAGTACATATGTATGTGTGTATGTGCGAGTATGTGTGTCGCTCGTAGAACGCGCTCAAATCCCAAGCCACCAAAGTGGGCAGAAAAAAAGCCAAGCTGGCAAAGCAGAGCTACGAAAACAAAAAAACAAAAACAAAATCCAAAAAAATTGTGTAAAGCGTGCATTTACATAATGAAAGATGTGTAGCACTGTGTGTCCAATGGGCACGCTGCATGTCACAGTAAATGTGTGTTGGTGTGTGTGTTGGTCTGTCGGGCAAAGGATATGCAAGGACGGAGGCGACGATGACCGTCGGCCAGTGCGCAACGTCATGTGCGTGGCATGGCAAGAGAAAAAAACCAAATAGAACTGAAAAAATGAAATTATAAAATATTGAAGCGCATAAGAAATGCGCAAAGAACAAATTTATACACACACAACCACCCACCCACACACACACACACACTCATATATACACTGAAAGAAATAGCAGCATTAATATCACAATTATACTCCGCAATATCTTGATCTAATAGAGATCACCTAACAATGAAATCAAAGAAGGTCTATTTATCTATATAATTTGCAACATAACGAGCGGCATTATTAAAATAAGCACCAAAACTTGTAAGGATAAGGATCAGGAACCTATCTAGAAACTCTGCCTAGCACTAAATGCCAGCAGCTATGCTGCAACCCATCTCTTCGGCTGAACTTTTCAAACAGCGAGACACTCCCCAATCAACAGATGTTATGACGTCGTTAATTGCCAATCATATCTGAATATCCACTTGTGATCTGTGTCCTTAAGTGACCGCAAGATAAATGTAAATTTAAATTCACAAATAAAATCTCTAGGGAAATCTGTGGGACCACTTACTACTTCACCGGGTTGAAGATTTTCTCTTCTTGCTCCTCACTTTATTAGTCTTATGTATAAGTCCTTAAATAGAATTAAGTTTTCTCCTCTACTTCCTATTTTTTTTTAGTTTGTTAGGTTTATAATGTTTTTGACCAAATTTCCCCCAACGTGTCGGAGACATTATTTTATTGTTTTTTTTCTATTACTATTATTATTTATATTAACATCAACATTGCCTATCGACATATATAAAAATTATTAAAAAAAAGTATAAGCTAAGAAAGCCAAAGTAGGAAAAATCTAATCAAATTTTTATTTACCTAAAGCTTTCTCATCTTTCAAATAGAATTTAAAACAGTATATTATTATTACATTACATTATTATTATTTATTATTATAATAAAATACATGTTTATTGTAATCTGCACAATTTGTTAATTTATTAAAAAGAAATAATTAAATAAATTATAAAGAAGGCATTAATACACATTATTTTATTGTTGCTTTTATTATTTTTATTTATATTTATGCCAACAAATATTCGACATAGGAAAACAATCTATAAAAATTATTTTAAGAAACGTTTAAGTTTGGAAAGTAGAATTATTATTGTTTAATTAATTATTTTACATTTATTTTAGAAGCTTTCTCATGTTTTAAATTGAATTTAAAACATTATATTATTATATATATTTAATGTAATATATTATAATAAAATACATTGATTTAAGGAAATGAATAAATAAATTGTTAAAAAGGCTCTCAAAACATCCACAGTTGAAATGAAATTTTCTAAACCCTTGATTTGATTTGATTTTTTTCGGTGCACCTCACACACACACACACACACACACACACACACACACACACGGAGAAAGAGGGAGGGATGAATTCCAAGTCGGGCCGCTAAAAGCGCTGCAAAGCTCGCGGTTGGCTGGGGAGAGAACATCACTTACGAGCCGCACACACACACACACACACACAATTAATGTCCTTTTAGATACAAATGAAATTTATAAGCAGTCAGCGTGTATGTATGTGTGAGGGACGCCCAAAAATGCTTGCACATTTTTTTCATCGAGCTGTCCCAGGCTTGAAACCCAATCCCTCCCCCTCCCCCTCCCACTACTCTAACACACACTGAACACAATTTTGAATAAAATTAAAATTATTAGCTACAAATGAATAAAAAATATACACACATACTATATATATGTATATATGTATATGTATAAAGACGCCAACGGGCGTGGTCGCTCAACAAATGCGCATAATGAGCAGGCGGCCTAACAAGATGGGTGGAGCTGGTGGTGTTCGGCGGTGTTCGGCGGTTGGCGATTGGTGGTTCAAGGATGGGAGCTTGGTTTGCTGGATTTGGGCGAATTTTTTTTCTAGCCTTCTCCTTTTTTTTAATTTTTTTTGTTGCTCGCTGGTCGGCCGACCGTGGCGGCTAAGCACTTTTCAGTTGATATCGCAAATCCTCGGGTGGAGCGCTTACATAATGATATGTGGCCGCTGGCGACGTCGTAGTCTGGAGCTGTTGAGACGACGATGTCATTTGCTGTTCTTTGTTTTTTTTTCTTCTCTTTCTTCTTCCTCTGCCCTTTTCTGTTTTTTGCGGCTCCTGCACTTGCATGCCAGTTGCGTTGATTTTGGACCGACCGCCAAAAAGCGACCACAAACAGCGGCACAAAAGCAACTTTGGTTGGAAAGAGAAGAAGAATTGAAGCCTAACTGGAAGCTTTAAGAGATAATCGGATTTAATCACTAAACACCTATTGAATTAAAGAAAGAAAGAGATTAATTTGTTGGAAAGAGAAGAAGAATTGAAGCTTTAAGAGATAATTGGCATTAATTACTAAACACCTATTGAATTGAAGAAAGAAAGAGATTAATTGTTTGGGAAGAGAAGAAGAATTGAAGCCTAACTGGAAGTTTTAAGAGATAATCAGCATTAATCACTAAACACCTATTGAATTGAAGAAAGAAAGAGATTAATTGGTTGGAAAGAGCGATGAATTGAAGCCTAACTGGAATCTTTAAGAGATAATCGGCATTAATCACTAAATACCTAAATAAATAAATACTACCAAGATACTCCCATTGGGAGGCTGACTTCAATGACAGGACTTGGAGCAACTTCTCCACCCGTGATACCATAATCAAAGTTCTGGATGGGTCTCTCCCTTTTCAGCCTCCACAGACTCGGTCTCCTCTACGACAAGCCCTCTAAAATGACGTACACATACCATTGTATATGATATAACTTGGTTTTGACATAAATTCTCTAGTTAAACCCTCTACCGGAAGCGTAAAAAAGGCATGTTGGGTTTGTGCAAAGTATGTGACAGCGAGAAGGAAGCATCATCTTAAAGTATAGATATTCTTGATCAGGTATTCTTGACAAGCCGAGTCGATAAAGGAATGTCCGTGTATTCATCTGTCTGGATGAACGCCTGGATTTCGGAGCTGGTTAAACTCACATTCACTAAACTTGGTATGTAGACTCTTATAATAACTAGGCAGCACGAGCTTATTTTATTTTTTGACTTCCCTCCCTCTCTGTTTACGCTACAGAATTTTGTCAATACTGTCCACATTTCAAAAGCTAAATAAATCAAACTTTTAACACGTAATCTGTATACAAGTATCTATTTTGTTTAAAATGGCATCCAAATCGCTCAATTCTAAGAAAATAGCTTGAGCTCGTTCTTCTTCTTCTTTCTTCTGCTATGGGCGCATATAACTCAGTGATGGAAGTTTCTTTGGATACAGGGTATTTCACTGTAGCGTTCTCTCTTGTTTCAATAGTCATTGGGTATTCAAGAGCGAGAATCTTAGGTATGACTCGATATATTGTATTATGCATTAAATAGATGGCAGAATAGTGTAAGAAATTATGTTTAATGTTTAAGCTTTAGATTTTCGGTGGACTTTCCAAGTGGACACTCCCCTGGCCAATTTCTGTCCCAAGACAGTTCTCACTGTATTGTAATTGAATATGTTTGTTTTTCGACGATTAATCGGTGGATTTTTCTCAGTTCTACGTTGATTAAGGGCTTTCATTTGTTGCTAACGATTATGCAATGTTTAACAAAGTTTATCAATCAATATTTATGATATACCAATGAATCGGTCCATCAAGAATCGTCGAAGGACTTTTTTTTTTTGGTTTTCCCATAGGGGAAACTCCAAAAAATAAAATAAACTCGTCCTTTCTCGGACCTGGAATCTGGATACCAACTTTGGTTATTCTAGCTTTTATAGTTTCTGAGATCCTTGCGGTCATCCAGACAGACGGACAGACAGACAGACGGACAGACGGACTGACATGTCTAGATCGATTTCTCTCGTCATGCTGACCAAGAATATGTATACTTTTTGGAGTCGGAGATGCTTCCTGTTAGATACTTTGCACAAACCTAATATGCCCTTTTTACCCCACGCATACAGGATATAAGAAAACCAACCCAATATATTCCACTCCACTCTATTCACCAATGCTTGGTTCTCGACTGCAAGGTAGAAAGTATGTTCAAGAATATTTTTTTTTTTGAGGCGATGCTCTCTCCTTGGTAGTCTAGTGATTTCTAGGGATTCCGCTGTATCAAATGTTTTCCTTAGCATTGTCCAGCACCCTATTTCCTCTAGAGTCTAGACTCGCTATATCGCAGATGATCTGTGTCCAGACAAGAGTGAAGGCTCGCCACTGATTCGCCATAGACTCCAATGAGAAGACGTTACACTTTCGTTCATAAACATAGCTTTAATTGTTACGTACATATATGTATGTGGGGGGTTTGTGTATATCGATCAGTTTATCAGTGTATAATATTATTATCAGTAGGTATAATTAAAAATAAATGCTGGCCACTCGCACCTTTCTTCCTCTATTTCTTTAATTCTCTGCTCAATCATTTGCTGCTGTCCATCTCTCGCTCTCTACACTTTCAATTCGAGTCATGCAGCACAATTTGTTGTTGTTGTTGTTGTTGATGATGTTGTCTTTAGCTTTCGCTTGCGTCGTTTGCGCGCCTTCCTGCGCAACCGATCGAACTCTCTGATGTGCTGCACGATAAAGTGCTTGAACTCATCACCCTCGTATTGGCGGCACGACATTGTAAATAGGATTAGCGAATTAACATAGAAAAAAAATCTTATATCATAGTTGTGTATATTAGAATTGGGGCCGTAATCGTGACGGTTCTTGTCACGCTCCTGCTTTTGCTGATCGTGGCGCTGGTGGTGGTGATGTTGCTTGTCTTCCTGCTGCTCTCGCTCTTGCTCCAGTCTCTTCAATTCCTTTTGCCGTTGGTATTGATTGTGATTGTGCTTGCGAGGCTTCTGGCTGGGCGGAGCATCTTCGGGATCATCAGCGTAGCGACGATAGCGTTTGGCCGTATTGAAACGTTCCCGCAAATAGTCATAAATAATCGTAGTCGTGGTCATTGTCGAGGTCGAGGACGAGGACGAGCTTGAATGCTTGCCTAAAGTCCTCGTTATATATGGCGCCACATGCTGTAGATAGAGCCAACGAGCGCTCATCTCGTTTCCTTTGCTGCGAGCGCATGTTGCTCGTGTTGGCGTGTTTGTTGTTGTTGTTGTTGGTGTTGATGGTGTTAGTGTCGAAATTGTTGTTGATGTATTTACTGGTATAATTGTTGTTGTTGTTATTGGCAGCATTGGCTTTATTGCATCGTGAACATTCTGATAATGATGAAGATGTTGATGTTGATGTTGTTTGTGATTGTGATTGTGATTGTAATGACTGTGATGATGGAAATCTACAGCAGTGGCTGCAACGCGTCAATGATCAGCAATCAGTGGCCCCCAAAACATCTTCGATATCTTTGTATCGTCCTCGGTTATAAAGAATTGACGACCCAAATGTACAAACTCCTTGAGCGACAATTGGCCATCGCCATTTTTGTCTATCACAGCGAAAGAAACGGCAGCGTCTTCATCGGTCAGTCCCAGACATTGGAAGAAGAGCTTATATTGTTCGAGATCCAAGTGACCGGTGTGATCAAAATCTACGGCCTACAGCACAAGAGAGATAAGCACTCGATTAGACTATGTTCTAAATTTGAGAGAATTCTACTATTGTTTGCTCACCTTAAACAAATACGGCAGAAAGCGGCCAATGCGTTTAGCCATCTTTTTGTCGTTCAAGCGATGGTGTAAATCGGTTAGAAACTGCTCAGCAGTCACCAAATTGTAGGGTGTTATCTCGCCAAATTGCTCTTCCCAGGTCTGTTTGATGACATCCATGAATTCGGCGGCCACTTCCGGCGACAAGTGTCCCAAATCGTTGAAACGTTTTGCCAGCAAATTGAAGTCATCGAACGATATGACGCCGTCGTGATTTACATCCAATATGCGATGCAATGTGCGCATTTTGCGGCGCCAAAACTCTGAGTCGCCCTAAATCGAATAAATTAAACATTTTTGACAAATTAGCGATAGTTTTTGAATTTTTATTACAAATAAAATTTGTAAAATGTAAAAAATGAGTAAAGCAGTTGAAAATAGCTGAGACACACACCATTCTAAACTGCAACTCCAAAAACTCTCAGCAACTGCTTGAGAGGACAACTGCCACAGGAACTGCACACATTCGCCAGCTAACTGCTATGTGACTGAACAAAGTTAACTGCTTGTGCCTAGTGTGGACACAAACCTGAGGCAATGGCACGCGTCGCGCATGCGCCGCCCACTTTTTTTTTCTTCTTCATACTTTTTTGTTACAACAGTCGAGTTCAAAAAACCGCCTTGAATTTTCGAAAAGCGTAATGCGCAAAACACGTTTCACGCATACCCAGCACGATTATTGTTACTTCCCTACTCTTCTTTTTTTGGCTCTGCCTGTCTCTGCTTGTCTGCCTGCCTTCTTTACAACATTTACATATGTAAGTACGTAAAAAAGTTCACTCACCCGCTCGCTGCGCTTGGCATTTGTATTCAGACGACGCCGCTCGAACTCATCATCCGAATCGGAATCGCTGTCGCTCTCCTCGCGACGCATGGTGGCCGGTGCGCCCGTTTTCTTTGAATATTGGCGCACCGCCGGTACCAAGCTGGTGTGTGGCATTTGATGCCAAGGTATACGTGAGCCACTGCCATTCTTCTCCAGTAGACGCTGTAATCAGATTATAAAGAGATGGCATAAGTATTAGTCGTGCTTTAATTCAGCAACTGATTGACAAATAGACTAGGAATTGAGTATAATAGTTTACAACTACTATTATATTACCGTTACAGTTTAAGATACGTTGCGGTTCCACCAAATGCAACTGTAATACATACAAGCAACTGTATTGTCACTGCACTGCTTGCCGTTTTGAACATAACCGCTACAGTTTTAGAGTCGCACTATTAACAAGTCCAAATAAACCAACCACGTGGCCACCGCCCTCATTATATTTTCGTATATTCTGTAAATATTTACGCGTAGCGAACAAAAACCAAAACTAAAATAGAAACCGAAACCGAAACCGAAACAGAAACAAAAGCCAACAACTATTCTGAAGCTGTACTTGTTTTCTTTTTGGCGCCTCACTGACCTTGAGATTGTTTTTACAACTGGCCTGTTGCGAGAGCTTGGCTCGAGGCTCCCAAAATCATTCCATTCCACCAAATCTAGCTCTGAATTTTGATAATTTACATATACATACATATGTATGTATGCATGTATTAAAATGTGTGCATGTGTGTACGAAAAGCTCATTAGCTGCCCTTTATATGTTTCAGGTTTTAATACCCTACAGCACAAGACGTATCAGTTGTTTATGCGAAGAACTGGGCGCTTAGCTATCAGAAGTCTTTGTTGTAGGCCACTCCGTAAGTCGTAGTGGCTGATCAATTCCGAATATGATTGTTTATCAAATCGCTTTTCAATTTGTGTTTAAAAATCAAAAACCTTTCGAGATTGCTTCACGCGTGGCGATTAAATGTGGAAATGGTGGAAGCTTCGAAATTGGAATGTAAACATGTTGGACATTTTTAATGAGCTCTTGCTGCTTTGTTGTTGTTATTTCAGCGAAACTGATAAGTGCAACAAACTGTTAATTAGAAGAGAAAGAGTGTTGTCGGAGGCTTTTAAAAATTGAAGAAGAAAAGATTACATTCGTGTAGCTGCCTGCATACATAATTCAGCAATAAACATTGTCAATGCTTTTCTTGTTGCTGTTTTGATTTTTCGTTTGATGATATCACAGGCCCAGTATTTAGACCTTTGGGAACTACAAATATGAACTTTGTTCGAAAACGAAAACAAGTTTCGAAATGCCCAAAAGCAGGCCCAATAAATACAGACACGAGCCTCTTCTCTTTTTTAATATAAATGCAAGAAATAAATGAGGAGGAAATATTTAATTCGAATTCGTCTGGTGGCTTCAAGCAACGGACGGAACAAGTTTCAAGTCCACAAACAAAAGGCAGACAAACAAACAAAGCAGCAGAAAACGAAAACAAAATACAACATATTTAAATACTTTTTTTCTGATTTTGTTTTATTTATGTTTATGCCAAGACCGACCAAAGTGCCGAAGAATTCGAGCAACAGGTCAATGTTGAAAGAAACGGAAACGCGAATCAAAGCGAGTGGGCTAGGGGAAAGGAAGAAGGAAGCCTTCAAAAGCAGATACTGAAAACTAAAAGCATAAAAAACTCTACAAAATACACTTAAATATTCTATGATTACTGAATAGAAAGGAAGTCACTTATAATTATAAAAAAACAATGTAAGGATTTAGCAAGCAGGTAATGGTATGACTATGGTATAAAGTATATATTTTGTATGCTGTTCAAGAATTTATGCATGCATATAGTCCTGTCCTATCCTTTGATTTGTCTGCATTTCCCCCCTATTGTCTTGTAAATGGTTCGCGACAAGGCTAAGTCGAGCGAATCAGCAATGGCTGTAAAACTGTGAAGCATTTAGTCAGCTGTTCTAAGCCTTCGATTTCGAGGACAGGTAAATAAACATTGCAGAGCATTGTTATTGTTTTTGTTGTTGTTCTTGCTGTCGGAGCCTTTGGCCCTATGCGCAAGGTTTTTGCGCACTACGAAAACTTTTAATAAGAATTGCGCAGTGCGCTGCCAAAAATTTGCTGCTCACCCCTGCCTGCTACATCTCCCCTGCCACTCCTTGAACATATTAGGGGGGTTGAAAAGCAGTTTTCACTCAGCAGCTTTGAATTCTGGAATGTGCCGATTTCTGTAGTTGTTGTTGTTGTCGTTGTTGTTGTTCTTATTTGTTGTGTGAAAGATGCGTGTGGTTGTCATATTGATTGGAACGTATGTATGAGCAGAGGGGGGGAAGGAAATGAGGTCGACGTTCGGTATGCGAATGAAATTTTGACATGCAGAATATGCTTTTAGTTTTTACATATATGTGGCCCATAAATTAGGCATAATGTATTGATATCCAAATACTATATGCAATCGAGTTAGTGGCTTACAGTTTTAAAAGAACTGTGTGCACTTAGCTACTCACTAACAGTTTTGTAGACGTTTCTGCGCTTAACTTTCTTTATTTTTTGTGTATACACAAAGCCCAGTCCGTAGCTGCCTAATAGGTATTTGCCTAAGCTCTATTGTTATTTGCCATGCTCTTGTTTCTGTTTGTTTATGGTGGCCTTAAGTTAATTGGTGTGCATATTCTAAGGAGCTACTAATATTTATCTGTTTATCTGCCTTTTTGCATGTTTTTCCTAACTTTTCTGAACAGTTTTAGATGCACACACGGCTGCCTGCATGCAATACCACCGCTACATTAGGTTTCAGCGGCATTGGCCTCATTCCTCTGCTTGTGGTTTTTTTTTTTAAGCTCTTTATAATTTAATTAACTCCACTTAAAAGAAGAAACAACACGCATACAAATCCACACACACACACACGAACACAAACACTTACATTGTTGTAATCGGCAGCAGCAACAACAATGTGAGACGACGACGAGCTGGACAGCTGCTGTATTTGTTGTTGTTGCTGGAGTGCACCCACTGTGGCGGCCATATTGCGTTCAAGAATTTCTCTCGAAGTGCGCAAAAGGCCGCGGCTTACAATGGATAGAGCCATTTTAACTGTTTTTGTTGTTTTGCTTGTTGTTGTTATGGTTTTCTATACAGTTGCACTTTTAACGGTGCTTCCGCTGCTGCTTCACAGTTTTAGCTGCACTTTCTTCTTTTATGTATCAGTCAATTAAAAAGAGATGTGCAAATTGAAGATGTTGCCTTGCTGTTGTTGCTGTTGGTGTTGCTTTCGTTGCAGTTACAGCGCTCATTTATTAACCGGTTTTCGAGTTTTTAACTAAAAGCACTTATTTCTTCTTGAAGTTGTAACACATCAAAAAAAAAGAAACAACGTTTAAGAGTTTTATTTTTTGTTTGCTCTGCTTTTGCGTTTTGCTCTTCTTCTTCAAACTTCTTTTATTTTGCTTTACTTCTTTTACGCCACCTCCTCCTTTACATAGAAAGAGACACAACCGCTCACTTAGACGTTCGAATACGTTTTGAAAAAAATGAAGTTGATATTTTACTTTTATAAGCGCTGCGTTGCCGGCGAATAAAGAGAGCGAGAGCGAGAGCAAGAGTGCGAGCGTTAAATTTCGAACTCAGTTCGAATATTTAGTTTCTCTCAAGCAGACCACCACCACCAAAACAGTATATTAGGCTTTCTCGTTTATTCCTTACTATAAGTCGTGTTGTCACGAATACGGGGGACTTAAGGAAAGACAGTATAATATGTACATATGTATGTATGTATATCTAATAAGAAAAAATAATATACTATGTGTATACATATACATATGTATAACAACTTAGTGAATATTGAAATCATTATGAAATAGTGTACAATTTAAGTACCTGTTGCTGACAGGAGGTATTTGGATTTCGACACTCCATCCGACATCGCTGTGATAAATGTACCGGGATGGTATATAGTATATACATACATACATATGTTTGCAGGAGTTAATCCTAAGCAGCATACGCTAACCGCGTGGACAATACTGTGATCGTTCAGGACATGTGTAAAAAGATTATATAAAGTCACCACTCGTGACTCACGAGGATGCCAGTTCGGAGCTGAACGATCGTATGGTTTTTATTTATTTTTTTTTTTTTTATTGAGAAGAGCGCAAGAGAATAAAGAGAGAATTTGTGGAAAAGCGAATCTCTATTCGAAATTCGAACATTTACCTATGTTTGGGCTGTGCTGATAAATTATATCATTATTGTATTATAGTATAATAATATATACATAGATAGTATTCTACTAATATACATACATACATATGTATGTATGTATAATAGTCACACAGCTTAAATATCTTAAAAGCCTTCTTTAAATGGTATTTGCAGCACTCTCGCCTCAACAACAACAACATCTGTTGACCGGCGGCCAATGGCCCTGATGCTCTCATTAATGTACGCATAGCAATATATCCGTTCATTATATATACACACATACATACATATGAACATATTAATGTTTATTTTATGTAGAAAATGAAATACAACAAAGTGAAAATGCAGTTGATGTTGTTCGAATGTAACGTAACAGTTACTTATGTAAACAAACCGACACACACACTCACCACACATACATATGTACATACATACATACATACATTACCGATCATCTGGCGACTAATTTTCTGTTGATAAAGTAAACGAAAAATTGGAAAACAAAATATAATAAAAATCGTATTTAGGTCGTGCGACAAACTGACAACCAGCCCTATGCATAGACTAGCAAGCACGCACATACATACATACATACATGTGTACATATGTACATAAATGTGTGTACACACGCAAAGGGGCAAATGTAACGAAAACGGGACAGAATAAAGTTCTTTCGTTACACTTCAATGCCTCACAGACCTCATGCTTGCGCACATACAAATGAAAACACATTTACAGCATACACACACGTTATATGTTCATCTATGTATGTATGTATGTATGTACACATATGCCCTTAAGTTTGTGTGCAATGCGCTTTGTTCAAATAATGAATCCACGGCTGCTGTGTTGTTCGCAGCGCCAAAAATGGAAAAAAGGAAAAAGTGATATCATATGGAAAATTGCAATTTTTAGAAGGTACACACATACATATGTACATACATACAAATGTATAAGATGTTTACTAACATATTTATATACACACGTATGCATGTAAGCATATATTTACATATGTACATGTTTTCTTGTTTTAAACAGTAAGTATCTAATTAGAACGACAACCATAGATTGTATCTTATTCTTCTCATAATATTCCTTATTTCGTACCTTTCTGTGTATCTGGAAAATAAAATCTGCGAACTAGCAACAAACATTGTATTTTTATTAATATAATCTCTTTTGAAATGAATTCCATAACAAGAAAGCCAAGAAAATTGGGCAATTACATTTTTATATATTTTTTTTATTTGTTACAGTATTTATTTCTTAAATATTCTGAAATCGGTTCTAGTACTGGAGCAGTAACGTACAAACATACATATGGTACATTATATTAATATTGGGAAATTTTGTAGGCTATCTGCTGCAATTCCTTAATAACATAATCTTGGGATTATTTATGCAGCTCCGAAATAGTAGCTTGCCTGATAGCTGCTCATTTTTAAAACAAACAAAACAAATCCAAATAATAAATAAACAACTAATGAAATTAATCCATAAGGTTAGGCATACATTTTGGCATCGGCTTGGCACGGGAGAAGAAGAAGAATATGCAATGCTACGTGACAAATTTACCGCATGCACTAGCGGAGCAAACACCGTTTGGGTATGAGTATAAGTAGAGTGACAGAGCGAGAGAGAGAGAGAGAGAGAGAGAGCACGCTCAGAGAAGCCGGCAACTTGTCTGCATATTCCAATGAGCAACATGTTCTGGAAACGTTTACAGTAGCAAACCAGAAGTGAGAGAGGAGAGGTAGACAGACAACATACACGAGACCCACAGCAAAGACTTCCCATCCCGCTTCCCCCCGCTATGCCATAACATAACAGCAGCGCCGCATTGACATAAACAGAGTGCAGTGCACTGCACCTAAAAATGTGGGGCCACATTAAGGCGAGTGTGTGCGTGCGTGCCTGAGTGTACGTGCATGCATACATGCATATGTATGTAGATACATATGTACATATGCAGAGGCAAAAGAAAACATTCATGAATAGTTTATAACAAATTAACACAATTGACACCTGTGCTGCAGTCGCCTCTGCCCCAACCGCTCTGGCTATAATTGCCAAGTCACGTCGCCCACAAAACATAATATCAAACAACAACAACAAAAACGAAAGCGCCACAACCACACCCAAAAAAACCAAAACTGTAACAACAATGTAACAGCATAAGAACAGCTGACGTCACGGACGAGCTGCTTCACATGTTAAGCAGCTCCCAATCAAAAATTACATGCATGTGGTATAAATATGAATGTATGTATGTAATAAATTATTGTTGTAATGGAAATTATTCAATTGAGATGGGAATAACAACAAAAAAAGCATTTTTATTGCGTACTTTAATTATGTAAATATTTTCGTTATACATTTTTGCGCTGTTTTTTTTTTGGGTGGTCACGCACACTGATTCGAAAACCGATATATTTTGGTAAAAAGGTTTGTAATATTGTTCAAAATGCCATTTGTCTTCCAAAGACTGCGTTTTATTGCAGAGGTAATGCTCCATAGGACAGCACCTCCAATTTGAGGAACAGATGTCACTGCACTGGAATAAAATATTTTATAAAATAAATTGGCCGTTTTAAATCATTTAGGACATTTTTGATTTGCTCAATTTGCTTTTCTACTTGAATATTTTTATTTATTTATATTATTATATCATTTAAATTTATTTATATTTATAATACATGGATTTGGGTCTACTAAAGAGGCTAAAATAATCTCTCCTATTTGTTTACACTTTCCTTTTTTAATTCTAATATTCTCTTGAGCTCTCCTCTGCCCTTCTCCTACCAAGCACATTTACCTTTAGTTTCTTCATTTTGATTCGAATTAATATACAAGCTTTTTTGCTTGAGGAAGTCGCTTGAGTAAGAAATTTACTTAGAAAACAATCAGATTGCACCCAATGTTGTTTTTGTCGTACAGACCACAACGACACAAACAAAGGGCTCATTACATTTGTCTATACATTAAACATCTGTTGCTGCTGCTGCTCTTGCTGTTTTTGTTGTGGTGTTTTTCGTTGTTGCTTTTACTTAACACTCTTTCGCATAGTCAACAATTCGCTTTGTTTTTGGGGTGCTGGGTGTTGTCGATTTTGTTGTTGTTGTTGCCGTCCCATGCTGCCTGCCGACTAGCGGATCTTGTCGCGCTTTTCAAGGTTTATGAAGTTTTTAGATTTCCGCAACGCAATTAAATATTTTGGCGTACGTGTTGCGGTTGCCGTGCGGCCTCCCTTTCAGCAAAAGACAAAACAAAAACAAAAGAGCAGTAGCATGAGCACGAGAATATGAAAAAGAAGCGGTGGAAAGCAAAAGATGCACAAGTGGCTAACATTAATCGATTCAAAAGTTCAATATCTTTTGATTGAATCATTAAAGGCAAATCAGAAGCGGAGCAACGTACTCCGTTTTAGCAGTGCAGTCCGTCCGACTATTACATTCCCTTTACGAAACAATATTAAATTTGATAGATGCTTATGCCTTTAAAAAATTACCAATAAGCATTACATTTTCAGTAGATTTTCGTCTATAGAAGTGTAGTGTATATAGTAATTTCAATATCAACACGTTCTGAGTAAAAATTGTTTCACTTCTCTGCTTACATTTTAATAATCCTTTAACCTATTGCAAAATTAATGCTTAACAACTTTTTCGCTCAGCTAATGCCGCAATTGAAGTTACAGTCCTTTTCGTAGACATCGTCACATCAATTTGCAATTAAGGACCGTTAATGTTTTTCAGATTTATTATTCTGCATTAATTTACAATTAATTAATTTTATTTATTTATTTATTTTTAGGTCAGGTGATTGCAACAGAAGCACCTAGTCCGCAGACTATCCCAAAATCTAAAGTAAATATAAATGGGAAACAACAACAATATATGTACATACTTGTATGTACATACATATGTGTGTGCCGCTGATAAATTGTTGAAGGACGCATTTATGCTGAAAAACAAATTAAGCCCTTGGTGGCTCTTCAAGTGGAAAAGCCTTTTCCACAAGGCCAAATAGGTACCTGTGTACATAATTTCTTGTTTACACGCACACATTTGAACTTATTTGTGTGTAAGTATGTATGTATGTGTGTGTGCATGCATGGCAAGTTCTTTAATTGCGTCGTCGTTGTTGGGTTCTCATTGTTGTTTGGTTGTCATTGTTGTTGTCGTCTTGGTGACGAAGTTGTTGGTTTCATTCACTCGGTGGTGGTGGTGGTGGTGATGGCGTGACAGAGAGTTCATGTAACCAGCTGTTTTTTGTCTACGTGCGGCTTGCAACGCATCCTTCTTCATTGTCGTAGGTTGTGGCACTGCTAATGCGCTGTTAACAATAACAGAGCGCTGTTAATGTTTAAAATGCGGGCTAGACGACTGAAAAGATGAGAAGAGAGAAAAAGAATAACATTTGCGCTGCGTTTGTAAATTTAATTACAATTGCTTATCAGCGACCCGTTTATGCTGGGGCTGTTGTTGTTTTTGTTGGTCTAGCATTGATAAAAATACATAACAACAACAAGAAGAGCAGCCGCAACTATGGCTGTCCATCATTTTGTAAGTGCCTGCCTTCTGATAAACCCAACGTAATGAGAGCGGCATGGTGGGGCAAGGGGCGCAATGTTTGTGTAAAGATTAGGCCAACGGTAAATGGAAATAAATGAAAAACATAAACAGATATGGAAATGGCTTTGAAAAATGGTAAATAACATTTAATGCTGCCTGGGCCCAACTGAAAAATTTACAACCAGACAAACAAGCAAACACACACACATAAAGAAGTACTACTTACATAAATATGTAATTACAACACGCGAGCATAAATAAATAAGTATACTTATACGTAAATATATGTATATGTACATATGTATGTATGTACATACATACATATATGTACATATGTATATGCATCAGTACCTATAAATGTGTTTTATATCGTGCAAATGGCTATTTCTCGATTAATCGTGAAGACCACTTGACCTTGCACAACAACAGCAGCTGTAGAAACCACCAACACTAAAGAGGGCAAGAAAAAGAGACGTACAAAGCAAGAAAAAACAACAACAAAAATAGCAACAAACAACATGTGAGAAGTCGTACTCTAAACAAAAACAAACCAACACATAAAGTCAGTATCATGCCGTGATATAATAAGACACGATATGGCATTGCGTAGGTTCGTTATGAGGAGCTTCTCTTGTGTGTGTATGTGTGTCTCTTTAAGAAACGTCACAAAGTGCGTCGTGGCGTAGTCAGAATATTGGCTCAGTGTTGCACATGTTTCTTCGTTTAATGCGGCGCGCCATTTTGTACGAGAGATCACAAAAACAAAGCAATAGAGTGCGCAAATGTTCGGCACGTGCTTCGTGACGTAGACAAGGAGAGAGTAAAGAAACTTCTGCATTACTGTCCTCATCGTGGACTACATACTGGAATGAGAAGGGTATTACTTTACATGATGATGATGCTGAACATTTTAACCCATTTAGGCTGTATATATATTATTTATTTATTATGTTCGTGCGTAAAATCTGTACAGGAAAGTAGTCCCCAGACTTTAATTTAGAATGACTTTAGTAGATGGCATTCGCATCATTTGATAATAGGATTGGTTTGTTCGCATTAGTTGCAGAAATCATGGGTATAAGATACAAAGTACATATAGAAGATCAGTTTCTAACACCACTCCCAATTAAAATTGTTATGGACATTAACAATTAATATAATTAATTAAAGTACCCTTCACGATAAGGGATACTAAAGAAATTTTATACTGCGCAGCTATTCAAATGGCTTTAAAATGTTTACCAAATGTTTATCAAGCCAATCAAAACAAAAAATAACTATTTTTAGGCCGTTTCGGCCTCGCCGCAAAGCCACAAAAGGTGTTAATCAATAGTTCAATACGATTCCCTTTCGTTAGCCCTTCAGCATAATTGTAAATTTAGCGGTTTTTTATGGCTTGTTTATACAATGGACCTTATCAACAATGGTAAATGCATGCACACATACATATGAACATACATATGAGTGTATGTATTTATGTACATATTTACATTATAATAAAAAGGCGAATTCGTAACTACGATGATGGCTATTTCCGAAGGCGCTGCTGGTCTTTGGCCAACGTTTGTGCAGGCACGTTAACACAATTCCGCTTAAACAGAATTGTAAAGAAATAAACAAAAATGGGTAAACATCAACAACCGTAACTTATCTAGACAAGCGGCGTCGTTGGTCATTTACGTAAACAATGTAATAAATCAATGTACGGGCATTAAATTACAAAAGCTGGCATACTTCTGTTCATCAATTGAGTCATTAGAACTTAAATTCCAAAAGAAATGTAAGTTCATTTATTGTCTAATTTCAAATTAGTTGTACTTGGAACGCTGAAGTGTTGGAAAAGGCGCGCTTTCGCCAAGAAAAAACAGCGTTGCCACTCCTATTGAGAACGAAAACGAATCTAGCAGCTGATTTAATTCCTGCCTTTGAATGACAAAACTCTTCTTCATTTACTTCGGCATTTTCAAACGAACAGAAAATACAACGAACTTATATTTGTTGTGTGCAAAATAATTTGTAAGAGTTGTTTTTTTTAAATTGCGACTAAAATAACTAGAAGTAGATCGAGAGAAGCACGCGAATATGGATTTCGGTGAAAGTTCATACCAGGAATTCTTCGATAAGTTGCGCAGGTGATTTCTCATTACCGATTGATATTTTCCCCTTTCTTTTTTCTTGCGGCTTGTGCTACAGCCTTGCCATTTTGTTGTTGTTGTTCTCATTAGTGTCTTATTTGACAGCACAACGGGTCCAAATAACTTGAGACGCATATTCGAGGACGATCAGAGGGGATTGCAACACGAATCCAACTCGTTGCGCTATCAGCCACAGTTACAGTCGCCGCGCATTCCACAGCAACAGCCACAACAGTCCCATAATGGCCGAGGCGATGGCACTGAATTAGCTGCTGGCCCTGGAGCGGCCACCACAGAATCGGCTAGGACTCAGTCGAGCGGAGCAAATGCACAAGGCACGCCGATATCGACAGCTCACTACATTCCGGAGGACGCACCTCGTGGCTCCGGCTCCTCAGCCGTGCATTGGACAACAGTGATTGCCAAGGTGGCGTATGGCTTCAATGGCAGTGACAACGTTGGACGCGTAGGTGTGGCTCTCTCAAGGCACATGAACACCTCCGCTATGAAGCTGATCATATACAAGTCGAAGCAAGAGGTGTACGGAATTTTGCGCCTTATTGCTAACGACACATCGGCCAGTCGCGCGTGCGTTATATTGCGTGAGTCCTATATGCAATTCTATGACGATCAGCAGCACTTTTGGAGCGTTCGCTTCGACAGCCACCAGGACGAAAAGGACTTCACCAAGGCTATGCGTCTGTTCGGTCTGCTTGTAGAGAAAGTCGACACTGTTCGCCGGTCGAGCAGCCCCCATACCATTTCATCAAGCGTCTCAATCTCTTTAATGACCTTGACAGCCGCGGCGGAGCAAGTCCTGGGCGGATCGGTGACACAAGACTCTGGCGCTCAGTCGCAGCGCCCATCGCTTCATCGCGCTGGTCGTGGCGAGGCTGTTTCGGCGGCCACATCGGTGACTGAGTCCGTCTCCGATACCAGTGAGAATGATGACGACGATGATGTGGAGGACATATTGGTCACTCCAGCTGCCAAAGCGGCTCTGTCACACAGTAGCTCCAGCCAGGCCCTGGTGCCGGTGCTCAGTAGCAGCAACAGCAATGCTAATATATCGTTGGCGGTGAGCTCGACCAACACTAGTCGCAACTCCGCGGAGAAGATCGAGGCCTACTTGGACGAGCAACGCGCCTCGGGGCAATTGATGGAGAGGAAGATGGATTCTATACTGGATGCCATGAAGCGCTTGATGAGCACCCACAACGCTCAGGAGCAGGTAGCTCTGTCGGCTGATGAAACGTCAACTACAATAGATATGTCTGAGAAGGACAAAGAAGATGAGCTCCTGGACTTGGAACAAAAGTTGCTCAACTTTAAGAAGGAGAATCGTCGACTCATTAAGAATCTGAAGGCGAAGGAGCAGGCCCTTCTCGACCTGCGCACCTCCACATGCGCTCTCTGCGAAGATCTTCTGGCCCAAAACAATGATCTGAAGAAACAGAACTCAACCCTCTTGTCGACCATGAATGCCCATTTGCATGGCAAGGGCATCAACATGAATTTACAATCCAGAGCTCCGTGCACTCAGTGCGAGCAGGCAACTGCCAAGATCATCATGCTGGAGCGTCGTGTGACAGCGTTACAAAACGCTTTGCTCACTTGTACCTCGAATTTTGGGAATACTGGGAATACAACCAAAACCACAACCACTACCACAACAACCGCTGCAACCACTGCGACTCCATCAACCATCATGTGATGATGATTACAAAAACAACGCCAAACATCTGCCATAGATACCCGGGCTGTATTATTAGTTGTAAGCCTGAATTCTTCAGTTTTAAGAAACGTTGTCAAGGCATCGTGTGTGATTGGTTGTGAAAGGGCGGAGGTCAGTGAGAAGGAGGGGGATCTTATACTTAAATCTAGCATTAGTCGTGACAAATACCAAATCATATTGTACCTAAGTGAACCTTTTAGGTAATCTGTAATTTTCGAAACACACATAGATTCCAAATTTGTTTCAATATCCAACGGCACGAATTGTTCACATTTTCTCCATTCATTTCCGGACGACAAACACAAACTTGCGCATAAGAACGTGATATAATAGTTAACTAGAATACGGCGATTTTCATTTCAATCATACGATATGAATTCGTGACTAACATTCAATATGTTTGTATAGGACATTCCAAATTTTATTTATTTGTTTTTGTTTTTTTTTTTTCGGACGATCTAACCAAATTGCCGCTTAAGGCAGTGATATAAGAAAATGGCACACAAATTGAATATTTCATAGAGACGCATAGCTCTTTAAATTGTTAAGTAAGTGAGGCATGAAACACATAATACACATAATATTTAGGTTCCATTCAATACTTTTGGCACACTGCCGTAGTTTCAATCATAACATTGTAATATCAACAAATAAAATTTGTTAATAACAACATACCGAAGAAAATGAAATCGTTAGTTCTGTATTGCAATTGTCTTAGTTGCCACAAGAATGTTCATTTTAAAAAGTTCATATCCGCCCATAATTTAAGCAAAGTGCATCATTGCATTGCATTTTGGGCCAATTAATATTATAAGTAGGATATATACATATGATAAATAATGTTTCATACTGACTATAACACAATAAAGATCCAGTTTCTTCCACACAAAACAATTCAAACAACTATGTGATGATGCATTCGAGCTCGATGTTAGGGACTATTTGGGGCATAAGTAGTAATGGATATCGAATAAACTGAAAAATAAATACAAATAAAATGATATCACAACAAACAATAACAACAACATAAGAGACTGAAAGACGACAGAGAAACAGATTGACGCTAGAGAGCCTTAAAATACAGCAAAAGTGGGAAAATATAGTCAAGCAACCATAAAATGAAATAAAACCGACTACCTGAAGAATGATTGTTTCTTAATTATTTTTAACTAAGAAGTTGCTGCCCCAACACAATGGCTCCCACAATAACTAATAATTTAACTCTTCTACACATTTTAAATATTTCAAAGAGAGTTCAATGTGAAGGAGCTAGTTTTCGTCATGTTTTGCACAATAATTACTTGCCTAACTGATTCCAGCTTAAGTGTTTCAAAAATACATTTCTCAATGACGATATATCATTTGAGAAGTTATTCTGTAGAAGTTATCATAACTTCATTATACAAGATTCCCTTGATGTCTGTATTTGTTGCTCAGAAAAAGGAAACGACATTCATTTGTTGTATCCATTTATTTCTCGATTTTTAAATCATACATATATGTACATATATAACTCCCGAATGGCGCAATCGTGCTAGTTGCAGCCTTTTAACTTGTACATAGATATGAGCTAGTTGTAGTTTCAGTTTCTGCATAGCTGCCCTGTGGCTCGCTTATGTAGGGGCTCGTTTTAAAACTAAGATGAGTCTAGGGTTCCCATGGCAATGGGCGAACAATGCAACATAATGCTAAATGATTTGCTTCGTTGTGGATATGGGGATGACTCAACAGGCAGTCGGAGTGTTGCTCTCTAATTAGAGGTGTGCCTGAGCTTTGCATTTTTATTCATTTCTTTATGTTTCGGAAGCACATACACTTGCATCCAAGCATGCGCCCATCTAATTGACAGGATTGAAATTTCCGTGAGTGTGTGTGTTGAAGGAAGGCCTTACAAGATTGTTTGTATAAACTAGCCTAGGGTGTGAGTTCTTTCGTCCATACAAGCCAGCGACCTGAACTTTGCATCTTAACAATTTTCCTTTCAAACAAAACCAGCTGGCGAATGAAATAATTTTGAAAAGATTATTATGCGTAAAAAGAAAAACTATACTGAAGTTATGTGTAAATCGAGCCAATTGAATAAAAATGTAAATGTGAATAGAGATTATACAGAGATCACACGCATTTAGGAAAACAGCCTAGAAAAAAAACATTCATAAAAATTCCACTAATACCTAAAATCATCGTCATTGTTGTTCGGATATATAGCATGTATAAGCTGCAATGCACTTTTTAACTGCAGTAAAAACTAACAAACTATTTTTGCGTGTACGGCTTAATGTCTAGAATGTTTCTAAAATATGTTGGCGCATGCTTCGGCTTCTTTCTCCGTCGAGCTACTTGTACACAATCTCAGTAGGTGCTGCTGTCGCTGCAGCTACTCAAATAGCTGCCAGCGCCCGTGGCACTGGAGCCACCGACACGATGGCGCTTCCGCTTGACCTTCGTCTTCTTGCGACGAAGAGCTTCAGGCTCTGCTTTGCGTTTGTATTTGCCTTGACGCTTCTTTTTGCGTCCATATTCGTCCGATTCGCTGGTGCTGGACTCTTCATTATCGCTGGAATCCGATTCGGTGTCGCTGCTCGATGACTCCGATTTTGATGACGTTGAGGATGAAGACGAGGACGAGGAGCTACTCGAAGAGCTGCTCTCGCTACTTGTCGAGTTGTGACGATGCTTTGAGCGTTTGCTTTTGCTCTTCTTGCTGTTGTTGTGATGTTTCTTTTTCTTCACATCTTTGGAGGCGACAGCGCTGGACTTTGTTTTTTCGCCGCCCCCGCCGTTGCTGCTCTTTTTGTGTTTCCTGCTCCTCTTGTGTGTGTGGGTGTGTTTGTGCTTCTGCTTCAGAACGGATTTTTTTGATTTCGTGGCAGCCTTGGTGCGCTTCTTATTATGTTTGCTTGCTGCCGATATCGGTGACTTTACCGTCACTGCAGCTCCAGATTTAATCGTCGTCGCCGTTGTTGCTGTTGTTGTTATTGTTGTACCAGCTGCCTCGCCGGCGCCGCCTTTAATTTCTTGGGCACGCAGCTCAGTCAGCGGCGTTAAATACTCGAGCTCTGAATCCGAACTGGTGCTCTCCACATCGAGCAGAATCTCCTTGTTGGGATCCACCTGAATAATATATGTTCATATGTACGCATGTATATGTATGTATAATTTCAGCTTGCAATGTGTTTTGTTGTTTGTGTTGCAGTGGCTTACCTTGAGAAAATTCCGGCATTGGTATGTCAGGTGACCCGCATAGCCGCATTTCTTGCATGCCGCACGCAAGTTGTCCTTGTTTGCATTCGCCAGAGGAAAATTCATTTTGCTGGCTATATCTGTGTAAAAATTAAGGCTACACTTTTCTCGTTTGCTTCAATTGGTGGAGCCCATTAAATTATGCGGTCTCTGCTCATACACTCTGCCAACACAAGACGGCGCAGCGGCAGCAGCAACAACACAAGTAAATATCAGCTTAGTGTTGGTAAACGCAACGGCCTATGCCAGCATTGCACGAAAGTGATGCCACCTGTGCAAATTATATTTTTGCATGTATGCTCATCCGGTAGCTGTTGCTCGCATTTACAGTGAGATTTATTTAGTTCTTTATAATTTTGAGCTGTTGATGTGAAATTTATAGAATTTGAAGAGTTCCCTCACTAGGACACACGCCCCATGAATTGAAAGCTAAGCCAGTATTTTTTTAAATGCTTTGATTTAAAACGGAGCTTTGAATATTTCCCTATTTTTAACACAGCCAATTCGCTGATTTTATATGGAATCCGTGAAAATAACATAACTTTAAAAACAATAAAGTTACAAAATATGCTTTTAAATTTAAATGGCGACTGTTGATATCAGTAATGTAGAGTTCACAGTTGGGAACTACAGGAAACCAATGCAGCTCATAAGCTCAAACGCTGAACCGGGTAAGAGAACTTAATAGCCAGATGAAGTTGCCGGACCGGTCAAATATATAACTACATGGCAGCCTATTTGCCAAGCTGAGATGTAAACTTACATAGGAAAAAATTGTGCTAGAGTCATGAATTATTCGTATTGAAATTCCATTGGATGTATAACATTTTATATAAAGTCAGTGCAAGTCAAGTGCTTTTAGCAGGTTTCACAATAACAAAAACAGCAGCCTCAGACAACAACAGCAACAGCATTGAGGAGTACAAAGAGAAAGTTTTTGCACGCCCCCGCATCTTCAAGTAAAAGAAATCTGCATCATTGTCGTCCTGCTTCATAACCTGCAACAATGCAACAGAACGCGACGAGCAATCCATTTTCAATGGCCGCCTATGGGGAGCGTCCTCAAATGGGTTTAGATGTGGAATTCGGCGCCGATCCGGCGAGTGGGGCGGCCTTCTTTCAGAGCGATGGCAGGAAACACGATGACCTCAAACAGATGCTCGACAGCAATAAGGACGGTCTAAAGCTTGAGGCAATGAAACGCATCATTGGAATGATAGCTCGGGGACGTGATGCCAGCGATTTGTTTCCCGCTGTCGTTAAGAATGTTGTTTCCAAGAATATTGAGGTCAAAAAGCTGGTCTATGTGTATCTGGTGCGCTACGCCGAGGAGCAACAGGACCTGGCCTTGCTCTCCATCTCGACATTCCAGCGTGCTCTGAAGGACCCCAATCAGCTGATACGCGCCTCAGCGTTGCGTGTATTGTCATCCATTCGGGTGAGCATGATTGTGCCAATTGTGATGTTGGCCATACGCGATAGTGCCGCCGATTTGAGTCCATATGTGCGCAAGACAGCGGCACATGCCATCCCCAAGCTGTATTCATTGGACGCAGAGCAAAAGGATGAGCTCGTTATGGTAATCGAGAAGCTGCTATCGGATCGCACAACACTGGTGGTGGGATCGGCTGTCATGGCCTTCGATGAGGTAAGTTCTCTTAATTCATATAAAAACGAATTAGGATCCGATGTTAGAGGAATATTGTTATTGTGAAGCTTAACGAACTTAAACCACAAAAATATTCTAAAGTTATTGAAATCGACGTTATAGAGAGCACATCTTATTTTGTTTGAAAAATAATATAATTGTGCTTATCTAAAAAAGCTTAAATTCACGATATTTTGCTTTACTTGCTTTCCATACAAACAAAACGAAATTTTTGGTTTTTTTTTTTTCAAACGCCTGTTGCTTCTTCGCATGCCTTATGTTGCTGATATTGTTGCTCGCTTTTGTTTTAGGTTTGTCCGGAACGCGTCGATCTTATACACAAGAACTACCGTAAACTGTGCAATCTGCTTGTCGATGTGGACGAATGGGGTCAGGTCATCATTATTAACATGCTGACGCGCTATGCGCGCACACAATTCGTCGATCCGAATGCAGACGAGGATGAGGGAGCGGCTGATGCCCCAGCCAGTGAGCGTTTCTATGATGAATCCACCAATAGTAGCGGCAATAGCGATGGAAATTCCAGCAGCGAAGATGAGAACGATGACAACAACAAGTCGAAGTTGCGCAACAGCAGCTCCAACAACAACAACAGCAATAATGGAAACAAACGCAGTGCGGGAAACTCACCCAGCAGCAGCTACCACATCGACCTGGACCATCGTTTGTTGTTGCGTCAAACGAAACCTTTGCTGCAGTCCCGTAACGCATCCGTCGTCATGGCCGTGGCACAGCTCTACCATCATTTGGCGCCTCGGAATGAGGTGCAATTGATAGCCAAGGCTCTAATTCGGTTGTTGCGCTCTCACAAGGAGGTTCAGAGTGTGGTGCTCACGTGCATTGCGTCGATGTCGACCAAACGCAAGGCCATCTTCGAGCCACATATCAAGTCCTTCTTTGTGCGCACCAGCGATCCTACACATCTGAAGCTTCTCAAGCTGGACATACTGACAAATTTGGCCTCGGCAACGAGCATATCGCTAATATTACGCGAATTCCAAACCTACATCTCCAGCAGTGATCGGTCGTTTGTGGCCGCTACCATACAGGCCATTGGACGTTGTGCGGCCAGCATTAAGGAGGTGACCGAAACATGCCTCAGCGGATTAGTCCACTTGCTTTCCAATCATGATGGTGAGTAGCTAGAAAATAGAAGAAAAGGGACAACCTAACATATTGCCATTGGGGGAGACATTGTTGTCTGATTAAATGTTATTAAATGGTTATTTTATGCAAAAGGCACGATGAGTTGTTAAACTGAAGAGAACTCTTAGAAATAGTTCCTCGTCATGCGATTATTTTACTCAGTAATTCATTAATTTAGTATTTCCCACCATACCCATTAGTAAACCTTTATAAATAATTGAGGAATTAAGACTGTCAGAGCATCGAACTTCGGAAGTGCTATGCTTCGAGCACAGTTTTTCTTCTGTTTCCACTTTTTTCATTCCTCTTATTAATACATTTTCATTCCTTTCTGGCAGAACATGTGGTGGCCGAAAGCGTTGTTGTGATCAAGAAGCTGTTGCAGACCAAGGCTGCGGAACACTTTGAGATCATTACACAAATGGCTAAGCTGATTGACTATATAACAGTGCCGGCGGCACGTGCTGCCATTATCTGGCTAATTGGCGAATATAACGAAAAGGTGCCGCACATAGCGCCCGATGTGCTACGCAAGATGGCCAAGTCGTTTGTGGACGAGCAGGATGTGGTGAAGCTGCAGGTGCTCAACCTGGGCGTCAAGCTCTATCTGACCAATGCCGAGCAGACGTCGTTGCTCTGTCAATATGTTTTCACACTGGCTCGTTACGACACCAATTACGATGTGAGGGATCGAGCGCGTTTTCTACGTCAGTTTATCTTCCCAACGAGCGGAACCAGCAGCGTCCTCTCACAGCATGCTCGCAAAATCTTTCTGACGGCCAAGCCAGCGCCAGTGCCTGAGAGCAAATATCGGGATACGAATAACTTCCAGCTGGGCTCGCTCTCTCACTACTTGAACATGCGTGCTTCGGGCTATAAGGAGCTGCCCGCTTTTCCTACTGTGGCGCCCGATGCGAGTGTCCGGAATATTGCGGGCTACATGCAGGAGAAGCTGCCGGGTGATAGTCCCACGGATGACACACACTCGAAGGCTGCCAGCGGCGGCAAGTCCTCGAAGAATCGAGAGAAGAACTTCTTATCCGAATCAGAGGATAAATCCTCGGCCTATTCAGAGTCCAGCAGCAGTGCCAGCAGCGGCAGTGACTCGACCAGCTCGTCTGCGTCGTCGGGCAGCGAGAGTGATGGCGATGACAACAATGATGTGGATGGCAAACCGGCGCCAGCAGCAGCTGCTTCCAAAGCAAAAGATGCTGTCAAGACGCCGGTGGCCAAAGTAACACCCACACTACTAGATGCTGCATCTGTGCCGGCAGCGGGCAATAATAATAACAACAACGCCATTGCCTATTCGGGTACTTCGGACAGCGGGGAGTCCTCCGCTTATAGTGGGAGCAGCAGTAGTAGCAGCAGTAGCAGCGACGAAGACGACGATGTGACGGATAACAACAGAGGCGATGGGGGCGGGTCGGACAGCGAAGCTGAAAAGGCATCCAAATCCAAACCAAAAACCAGCACCAATAAACCAACTGCAGTGGCAGGCAAAAGCAATTTGGATCTGCTGCTCGATTTGGACGACATACCGGCCATTGGACCCGTATTGACGCCGTCTCTGGGAGGATTCTTAACGCCTGGTAAGTAAACGCAAAAGAGATGTGCACGACAGGAATCTATCTGAAGCAAATATCTAACGGAATTTGTAATGTAAAGACTCCTTTTTAAATAAGTTAAATCATTGTAAACGAAAATTGTATGAATTACTTTTATAATTTCTCTCCTTTGCTGTGTATTTAATTTAAATTTAGTTCAAGTATACTCGTACCCATTATTTTTGAGCAGAAAAAAGCAGATATTATCTATAACTATTCATATAACACAACGTGCCTAAAGATATTAATAAATCAGAAATGGAAGTTATTTCAAATCAATGTTATGTGTTAAGATTCTCGATCTTAACTTTCGTCTTTCTAGACATCGTTATATTAAGTTCTTTAATTTGCCTGCAACAAGTTGTCTTTGCCTATGTTTTATATAATAATTTTACTTTCTTTTTTGTAATTGGAAGGATACGTATAATAAAACAAATGAAATAAAAGGCTATAGTCTTTTCAATACCCTGCCCTGCCTGTTACAGAAACATACCAGTTCAAAGGTATGATGTTAGCTTAGTTTTATTCGGAATCTCAATAATTAGATCTGCTTAGACGACAGAAGACTGCTAGACAGAAAGACGAAGGGACAGACTTTGCTGCACAATATAGCACAATATTTCAGCGATCCGTTTACGTCTGTTACTTAACTAATCAGTTTTTTTAATTCATTTATTTTATAATTAGGCACGCCTATGCTTCACGGTGCTGCGCTGCAGCCGCAGAGCGTGGAAAGTCACATTGAACTGGTTGGTCCTTCCCACATCGAGTTCAAGCACAAGGAACTGCTCAATAGGATTACCGGACATGGCCTGCAATTATCGTATCGCTTCACACGCGCCCCACATCTCTACTCCTCGGCCATGTGCTCCATAGAGCTGCAGTTCCAGAATCGCTCCCAGGACGAGATCAGCAACATACAGATAGTTCAACAGACCCTGCCAGCGGGCATGCAGTTGAGTGAGTTCGCTGCCATTCCAAAGCTGCAGCCCCAGCAGATAGCAACTGCTGTTCTGGGCGTGGACTTCAATGACTCAACGCATGCGATTGACTTGGAGCTGCAGTCCAGTGCGGGAAATGCGCGCTTCACACTAAAGCCGCCCATCGGCGAGCTCGTGAGGGCCGTGCAGATCAGCGAAAGCTGCCACCAGTTGGAACGCAACAAACTCGGCGGCATGAACGAACACCAATGTGTGCTGCGAGGTGTGCAACGGGAAATTGTGGATGTGGCGTCGCTCAAACAGAAACTCTACGAGTTCATCAATGTGGCCCACACATATAGCTCAGCAACAGCGCAATTGCATTGCTTCGCCGGCCAGACATTCGCCTCCAAGAGTCTGGTGCTCATCACGCTCGAATGGCAAAAGGACGAGGCGCTCACATTGGTGGTTAATTGCGAGAAAATGGTCATTGGATCCATGGTGTTGAACGAGCTTCGCAACGCCCTCCAACAAAGCTTTGGCATGTAGAGGAGTAACGAGATAGATAGAAAATGAGAGAGAGAGAGAGAGAACGAGCGCGTGTAGGAGCGGTGCAGCATAAGATAGAGCAAGATAAGCAAGCCTTCTTCTTTCCTAAATCGTATACCTAAGTTAGAAGTTTGCTGCAACCACAGCAAACAATTCTCCAACTCACAAAACACTATACATAAATGTACATTCAGTTGAAATTGTTAAATGAACAAATTTATATTCTTAAACTTAAGCCAAAGCTTACGCATGGTTTCCGTCAACTCGAATATGAACAACTATTATGACGCTCTAAACTAGAACAATGCCGCAATAATAATGACGTAAGCTGAATTCAAAATCTATTGCTTCTAAATTTTATAATACAATTAAAAACAAACAAACATTTGTCATGCATGTCGGCTATGGAGCTATGTATGAGAAATATAGTTGCACAAAAGCGTAGGATTAAAGCCAAGATACTTGTATAGTAGGTTATCTTACAAACCAATTCAAACCAAATAATTAAAAACACGCTCACTTTTAAAGTAGAGTCGGATCTTGTAGATACTTGGCATTACAAATGTATGGATTCTCACTTTCTAAAGTTTATTTCCCTTGCATTCAATTCATCCAATGCGGTTTTAGCTAGCATTTTTATAGGGATAACAGATTAGCGCATGACAAATTTGTACAATTATTCTGAAACGTATGCGTAATGATTCTTGAAACAATGGCAACAGAAATGTCCACATTTCGTAGCTCTCAATAAAAAAAGCGGACATGATAATATTAAGTCGATGGCGATATGTGCATCGGAAGTCTTACTATAAAGTTATTTCATTCAATTTATTGTCTTCCTGTAACTCTCTATATATTCGATTAGAAAGAATCGTGCATCCATTAAGAAGGCAGCTAATTTTTTTTATAGGATCGAATCATTGCGAGTATACCGAAGAAATTATTTGTACAATACGTTAGATATGTAGAAACAACTATTTTAATCCTACGATTTTGCACGGCATCACTTTTTGGCAGGCTTATATACTGCGCACTCTATATATATACACATATACCTAAGCATATACGCATACATATATGTATTAACCAGAGATGTGGAGATCGCGACGGGAACTCGTGGGTTTCGAAGGGAATCAAATAAATAATAACATAGATAGTTGATTGATTTATTACCGCAGCGCTCCCTTTATTAAAACATAGATACGTACTCTTATGTATAAATACTTGTACAATTTCGATCTATATTTGTTGCTAATTGAATGTCGGCCCCATTGTGTAACTAATCGTCATCGAATGCGTGGGCGTATGTGCATTTTTGTATGTCTGTCTATATATATATATAGGAAGTAGTATACGTAGCTATGTCGTATATATACACCTTCTATACTTGTAACATAAATCTGTATAATTGTAAAGTGTTTTGACGTTGTACATCTGTTGCCTTTGTGTGCTCTATGCGGCCTTCTTCAAAATGTAGTAGAACGTGAGTAAAACCTTTAGATTGTGTATTAAGCCAAATTATCAAACAATGAATTATAATATAATAATATATGTACTATACTATAGAGTATGTGTGTAATTTTATGAATGTGTCGCAAGTTTCTTGTACGTAAATTGAATAACTCTTATTTGAATTTGTTGAATTGCATGAAGCAAGGAAATAAACAAAAATGTTAACTGCATTGTTGCCTAACTGATGATAAGAATCGACGAAATCTGTTTTACTTTAACGTTTTTATATACATTTTTTGCCTTTTTAGAATTTAGAAAAACAAATTACATACTTGTTTAGAATCTTTAAATGCCTAAGCTTAAATTTTTATGTTGCCTATTGATGAAAGACTATCGTTGAAAGACTATTACAAATGTTTAAAACACAACAAAGACATCTTAAAAACAAACTTAAATAATGAAGCCAGCCAGCAAATCTGCACCGAAAGTTTGTCCATTTTTTGAAAACACATATGTATGTATTTAACAAACAATTCGAATAAAAGCGGAACTCTTTTCGACGTATTTTTCAAATCAAGTAGTTCAACAAATCAACAATTTTTCGTAATATTACCTATTTATAAAATTAATAAGGCAAATAGTTTTAAATATTGTATGTATAAGCGAATAAAGTTTCAAACTCCATGCCTGCAACTTTATGAGCATTTAAAATTTTACTACACACTACATACCTATACATACATACATACATGAATAAACTCGAGAAAACAATTTAAAAGTAAAACAAACGAATGTTTGTCAAATTTATGCGCAATTATTGTTGTATATCTATAAATATTATTGTATACATTATTCTAGAAAAAAGAGGAAGAAACTAAATCGAAATAAACGTCAAGTGGCATAAATGAACAAAGTTCTTTCATTTTCTCTCTCTTCTTAATTAGAAATATGTAGAAACATGTTTTGACGGCTTGAAACTTTCAAGATCCATCAGCATAACCATTGAATTCTGTAAAAATAAAAAATAGAGCGAGTTTGCTTGAAATTTTGTGTATCCAATAGAATTCAAAGTTCCTGTTTTCGAAACTCAGATATCCGCTCTGGAGAATGCGCCCTGAAGCGATTAAAGCCATAAAATGCCAGTCGCTGAAAAAACTAAAGGATTGGATTTACAACAGCTTACTATTGTATTACTTTTTCTTTGATTTGATAAATACAGTAAGAAACCAAAATAATTGTAATTGTTTTCGGTTAACCGACATTTACTTCACTTTCTGCTTTAATGCTTTGGTAGGTGCACATCGTATAGACATACATACATACTTCTGATTTAAATTTAATCCAATTCAATGCATCGGAGTCATCCAAAGTAATGCTAAGACTAGTTATTAGCGAAACATAAGGATCCATTATAAGAATCCAAAGCGTATGGAAACCGACAGATTAACGTCGCTGATTGGCTAATGAAAGTAAAAAGAGCAACAGTTTGAGAAGCATTTGGGTAACTATCATCTAGCTTGCGATAGTGGAGCCTGCTGTATGTGGCAGATAAGGCTGGGGGCGTTGCTGTCCCCAACTTATTTAAGCCGTCATCGTAATTTCAGTTTAGTTTGAACTCCTAATGTTGAAATTTCTGTGCTCAATAAGTATGTATTATATATTTAAGTACTTTTAATAATTAAATAATTAAATATGTATTATATTTTTGTTTGACCAAATTGCAAATACACATTTTTTTTGGGTAAAAGTCAGACTGAAAGGATCAAACCAAGCTTCTGCAAGAGGAAAATTTACCATTTTTCCTTTTTTCTGCGCCAAGTATATGAACCCATTGGGTACGGTGTGAACAAACCATATAAAAGAATAATTATTTTTTGGAGGCATGCAGCCTTAATTTTGGCATAAATCGGACCCTAGAAAGAGCAAGTGACTTTGGTGAGTTGCCTGCGTTTGGACATTGGGCGTTTGCTTCTTCTTCTTAACTTTCCAGCGGTGGACATTGAACCCACCGAGGAGAGCTTTGACATAAAGGCACCGGTAGAGGGCGAGCGCAGCGTCAATCGTGAACCAAATCAGTTCCAATGCAGCGATCGCGCCGTCAAATCGCCTGAATGGACATCGGTCCGCGACTAAAACACCAAATTTAATTTAGTCAAAAAAAATTTAGTGTAAAATATAATATACATATATAAAATATACATATGTACAATGTATATTTAGTAATGTTTTTTTTTTCATTTTTTTTTCCTTCTTTCTCTCTACTACTGCCTAGTGAAGTGCATTACTTATTTGTTGTAATTTTTTTTAGTGAATATGTAATAGTGAGTGCTTATGTAATAAAATTCCAGCCCCAAATTTAATTTAGCTAAAAGAAGTTAAGTGCGAAATATTTTAACAAAGTTAAGTTTTTTTTCAATTTGTTTTCCTCTTTCTCTCTACTACCTCCTAGTGAAGTGTATTATTTTTTTGTTGTAATTTTTTTTGGTTGATTATGTAATAATGAGTGATTATGTAAAAAATTGCCAGCCCCAGTCGCTTTCATCTTCAAAAGTGGGTAAGTATCGCGATTTATTCATACATACTATACATTATTATTATTTCAAAATATCACAAGAAAAAACCAACACATTCAAAATATAAAATAACGGCATATTTACCGTTTGCGGTAATTTGCCCTCGCATCGCAAAAACAGCGGACTTGGCAGAGGAGAGAGGAGCGGAGAGGGCAGAGGAGTGGGCAGCGGAGAGAGCAACGGTGAGAGCAGGTTACTGGTTAGCAAGGGTTTATTATTTATAGTATACATACATTCATTATTATTATTTGTCGCCAAGCTGAGCAGGAAAAAAAGCAACCCATGACAAAATTTAAATTTACCGTTTGCGGTCATTTGCCTTTGCATCGGAAGAGCAGCGGAGAGAGCAGCTTATTGATTAGGAAGGTTACTGATCTTGTGTCTAAAGTCCAGTTTCTTTTCTGTCCTTTTCTACGCACTCTCTATGACGTCGTAATAAGAAATACTCCATAGTTATTATTATTTTTTCTCTTTTGCTTTCGTATGCTACAATAATTGAATTCAACTAGAGTTTAAGAACCCATTTGTTTATTTTAAATGTTTCCTTTTCTCAATTATTTTTGTTTTGTCTGTTCAGTTTTAAGATAGCGTGAGATCAGCATGCTGCCTTAATGAGATTTTGCTGGTGGAAAAAAAAACATCTTTTGTTTAAGTTCTGGCATTAATTTTATCAAATGTTCAAATGCTGAAAAAATGTAATTACATTAGCGCTTTATTGGTAGAAAAAAACGGAGACAGTTTTCAATTTGTATCTTTATGTTTATTTTATTCACGCTTTTTGTTCTTGTTGCTTGCTCATACATCATCATCATCATCGTCATCATTATATCGTTGTTAGCTGCTGCGCTCACAAAAACCACAAAGGAGCATAAAACATTACATACAAACATTGCAAAAAGTATGCGCACACACACACACATATATAGTTGGGCATGGCTATGGGTTTGTTATGTTTGTATCTCTGTGAGTTTGTGTGTATCTGTGTGTGTGTGTGTGTGTGTGTGCGAGGAGTGTCTTTTAATAAAAGTAGATTCTACCGAAGCACTACGGGCAAAAATTGTGCTTAATAAATAAACTGTAACTGTTTTTAAACCAGGGCTACAGCTTAAACAAACAACAAAAGCAACTCCGGATTGCTGCTTGGGATTGGAGATGGATACCGGAACAGGATATCCAATGAGATTTCGCTGGCTTCCGCATTGTAAAATTAAAGCTGGACATCTATTTCTCACCCATCCACTTATAAAGTTGGGATCCAGCGAAATCCAAAAGATCCTGTGCCGATAGCCATTTCGGACTGAGACTCTTTCATATATAAGTTGTATGTATGTATGTATATTTAATATTATTTCTCTTTTTTCTTGCGTAATTAAAAAGCTCAATTGTTTGTTTGTTTGTCATATAAACCATTTCTTTTGAATCGATTTAGCTTGCTAGTTTTGGTTGTTAGCATTTGTTTTCACTTGGTTTTTTTTGTATTTTTTTTGTAAAGTTTTAGCTTAGTTTAGTGAAAGTAAGTTTAGATTTGCTTGGGATAGGTTAGTTTGAGGTTAAGTTGATCTGTTTAAATGAGCGCGCGCGCGCTCTCTTCGAGCCAGCTGTGAGATGAGAGCATGGCGTGGCGTGCTCGAGCAAATAACTGAGATGAGATTTATAGTATAGTATGTAGGACTATTAGAGAGTTTTTTTTTTCGAGTAATAGAATTGATGTTTATGTATGTTTATGAGCAATGCATATGAGAGATAGGGAGAGTAGTACTCGTAGTTTTAATGCAGTTAGGAGTAACTATGTATATAGACTATACGTGTATGTATGTATGTATTTCTATTATGTATGAGGCGATCCAGTATGAGCATGACATAGCCTTGTTTATCGATGTAGTTAGCTAGTTATTTTCCTCATTCCATTCTCTTCTTCTTTCTCAATATATATAATCATATATTAGCGTTCGCTTTTTTGTGGTTGTTTTCTTCTTTAACTTAATTTCATATAAAACTAGTTGTATATGTTTGTATATTTATATATGTATATATATATATGAATGTATACATACATATATATATATATATATATATATATGTATATATATATATATCGATTCTTGTATGCACGTATGTATATAAAGTTGTGTATGTAGTATGTCTAAGTATGATTTTCAATCACTTATTGTTACGTACGGTGTTTGGTATAACTTGCTTTGCTTTGACCGACTATGTTTTGGTAGCCCCAGTTCATATTTTGCTTTGCTCTCCTAAATATCATCTTAAGCAATTCTTCATATGAGAATAGTCCAAGGAGCAACGAATAAGGAACCCTGTATATGAAAATGATAAAGAAGAATGCTGTCAGAGAAGGCGCGCCTTCTATTCTAGAATTTGTAATACTTTTGATTGAGTCAATACACCTATTTAATGGCCGGAATTTTGTTTTGAGTTAAACATTTTAACAAAATTATTCAAATATGAAAATCGAATGAAAAGAAATGAAGTTTTAAAACAGAATTCCAAATAGCTTCTCTTGTTCAATGCTTTTTCGTTTGGTTAAATAAGATAGATGGAATTCTAGTTCTCTATTTTGTTCAGTTACGTTCCTGAATTATTCGCTGCTCGCTGGCTTTGGGTTTCTTTTGATTTAGTTTTGGGTACGAGTAGTACGAGTAGTGCGTTATGTTTGTCATGAATTTCGTTTGTAGCTTGTCATTAGCCTAAAGACGTTTGCCTTTAATGTTTAGTTATAGCATATATATAGTTGCTATACATATATACCTAGTATGTTTAGCGTCTGTGCGATTTGCTTTGTGTATCCATTTTGATTACGCCATATTGTTCAGTTATATATATGCATGTAATATATGTATATATATGTATAGAGAGAGACATTTATGTTTGTATATATACATATATATATATGTATATATATATATATATATATATATATATATGTAGTTGTAGCTATAGCTATAGTATCTTATGTTCGTTTATGTTTTTGGTTATCGGCTCTCTGCTTTACTTTAGTGTATGGACGTAGGCCGGCAACGCGTTTCATGTGCTTAGAGTTTCTTATACCAATAAAGATAATGCTCTCCATCCTCGACCATTAGATCATCGACACCTGGAAATTGGGAAGTTTATAACATTAGAGAGATATGCCTCATAGAATATGAAATCTCACATGAATCTTACCAACAGGCGCAATAAGCTGATTCCCGGGCGTATTGTTTGGATCAGGTAGTTCCGGCAGTCGATAAAGTAGCCAATAGTGATATCTTTTGGAGAGAGGAAAAATAATGCGTGTAGTAGGCTTGAGAAACTATAATAAATAGTTCTGCGGGCTGGATTCAGAATCAACAAGTTCCCTACTGAATCGGGTAAATTATTATTCTTACAGACAATATTTCAGAAAAAATCTTAGTTTAATTTTGTAATTCATTTTAAAAACTCCTTAGATTAAAGGATAAAGCTCAAAGTTCTTCAGAAATTATATGTAAAGGAGTCTACTTTGTGTTTAGTTTTCTTACCCTCGTGGCTCCTCCTTCTTGCCATAGAGCGTATGTACATAATGCCCATTGGGCCATTCACGTGCCTCGAATATGAATCTAAAGGTTCAAGTAAACATTTATATATGTATACAGTTAACTGTAGGTATTAGATATTGAACAGACCTTTGATCCATTTCGGCAGCCTGGGTCATGGCCTTAAAGAAACTTGTATTCTTGGGCGATATCAGAGAAAGCGAGAATGCCTCACTGACATTGGATCCCACCCATAAAGTATAAGTATACGAAATGTTCTTGGTATCCGACTCCTCTGCCGAGCTACTCAGGCCGTAGGGTACGGCCAGCTTGGATTCGCCATTCTCTGAAATCGAAAACAGAAGACAGATATATAAAAATATATATTGGGGCTTAGTTTCTTTTTTTTAGTACACTATAGTTTTACCGCTTGAGCCCGTATCTATGTTTTGTACAATTCCTTCTGTCTCTTCTTATTGCTGATGAGAATAATATTGAAATTGCATTTGATTTTTTAAAACTTTTTCTCTGCTCATAAAATAACTCCTAAGGAAGCAAAATTCTCTCAATGAGTGTAGGTCTAGGTCTAGTATCTTTTGTTGGTAGTAAGTCCCTGATAAATTGAGTAAAATAATATTATACAAATTATGCGAAAGATTGTTTAAAAATGGATCGTCATGTATTTCCAAAAATCATATTAAATTCTCAATCAGATATAAGAGCTTTCCAAGTATTATCTACGACAAAGCTTTGCCAATCGGGATTCCCCAAGTTAGTAGCTGTAGATCAGACTATTCTAATCAACTGTCTCTTTCGGGATGATTTCAATTGCTCATGAATTTACGAAAATACATTTTGATAAGCTGATCTCGAAGTTAAAGTCATTACGACTCCACTGAAGATCGCTAGTAAGTTTGGCCGATATCGGTTTATACTACTCTTCATATTCTTTGGGTTTCTAAGTGGAATGGTATTCACTAGATTATAAGATCACCTGTCGGATCGCTGTTCTCGCGTATCACATGATCACATTGTAGGGCCCGTACTGCGCCCAGACCCTTCCAGCCTAGTGCCAGAATAATGTCTGCCGTCAGTCCGACCCCAATATCTGGCTCCTGGCCATCCTGCAATGGTTCCTCGCTCCAGCCGCCATCGGCGCGCTGTCGACTCAGTATATAACGGGAGGCAGCCGTGCGATTCCACTGACCCGCCGGATCATATTCCAGATCCTGAAGCGCCTGCATGGCCAACGCTGTGCTGCGCAACGATCCAAAGCTGCCGCGCTGATCCTGCAGGCTGGCCAATCCTCGTGCCGGCCTACGCACAAAATGCTGCAAGTGGCGATGCCGATGATCAGTAACGATGCAGCGCAACGCCAGGATGACCATCGCAATTGTGTCAACACTCTGATCCGTCACACCGCTGGCAATGTCCAGCAGTCGTCGAATCTGACGCTTTCTCACGTGCGCCGCCGAGCTGCACGCTGACAGGGTGGTAAGCGCAAACTCAATGTCCTGGACAGGCTCATGATGCTGGAGGGTGGCCACCAGATCGTGCCCATGAAAATGCTTCGGGTCCTTGCACAGTGATCCTAGGGCCAAGACATAGCGTGCCAGTTTGTCGAGATTCAGTGGTTTGGGCAATGTGTGATGGCGATCCAACATGGCCAATATTTCGATCTCCATCTCCTTAACGGACAATGTGTCCTCCAGCTCCTGAATGATCTGCATGTGGGCATCGGCGCTATCGTTTGGATCACGACCGCCCGATAGTTCCTTGGCCAGGATGACAACATGTGTGTCATTGGCCCAGCCATAGTCGGAGGCGCGTTTCTCCTTTAGCCAATCCAGGGCCCGTAGGATCGCCTCCTGTTCGCCCTTGGTGGGGGTGGCCGATCCGATGATCTCGTGCGGCATTAATGTCGGCTCTGCCAAGCCATTGTTGCTGTTATTGCCCATCGGCGTGGGCAGCAGCGACGGAAGCTCCGTTTGCTCAGCTGTCGCTCCCGCTGCTCCGGCTCCACCCGCTACTGCCACCTTTGTTGTTGTTGTTGCTGTAGTAGCAATGGACGTATTACTGTTGTTATTATTGTTGCCATTTGTGTAGCTCTGCTCATAACTGGCATCAATATTACTGCCCGCTGCCGTTGCTCCTGCTGCTCCTGTCTCAGCCGCTGCCTCCGCTGCTCCCGCCAGACCCTCAACGAACTCATTTGCAGCTGGCAACGGCGGCGCCGACGTCGTCGTCGCTGCCGGCGTCATTGTTGCTGCTGCAGCGGCCAGTGCTGCTCCCGCTGCTGCCGACTGGGCGCTGGAGACCGTCACATTCTCCAGGAGAGCCGCGGCCATCTGATTGTGGCACTGCATGCAGCCAAAGAAGACGAGCAGCAGCAACGGGAGAGGCCATTGCAATGGCATGCCCGGACATTTAATGGCGTGCAGCAACATTGCGTCTCTCTCTCTCTCTCTCTCTCGATTCGCTCTTATCTAACGGCTTTAAGCTGCTCTGCCGCTCCAGTTAACTGCAAGTGATCGAAAATGAGAGCGCTTAGAATTTTTGTAGACAATATATGTAAATTTTTTCATAATTTCATAATGTCTCTACATAGGTAAAATCATTAACAGGCTTTTAATTAATATGGTTTCGATAATTGATAATGAGCAAAAAATAACAATAATAAATAATAATAATAATAATAAAAGGCTTTTATAGGGATGTTCTGATATGGAACAGCTTTATGGAATTTTCGTAGACAATATACATTTTTTCATAATTTCATAATGTCTCTACATACATAGGTAAAATCAATTAATATTGTTTCGATAAATGATAATGAAAAAAAATACAAAAATAAGTAATAATAATAATAAAAGGCTTTAATAGGGATGTTCTGATATGGAACAGATTTTCTTTTTGCAAATTCAAATCACTTCCTATTCGTGTCAATGAAACGACAAATTGTTTTTAAATTAAATTTATGTTTAAAATGTTTATATATATATGAACTTATATATACATACATTAAGCCCCAAAGACACTAGACTTTAAATTAAGTTAAACGGCAAAAGTGAACATTTGCTACAATTCAGCAATAAAACCCATTTTTTCTCCGTTTCTTGCTTGCAAACATTTGTTGTTATAAAAAAATGTCTATTCCGGTATTTGCGACCATTATCTATTTTGTTGTTTTTTCTCTGAAATTAAATGTCCTTCTTCCACTTCCAATTTTATGAGCAACATTGTTTTGGGTGAGTTTCTTTTTTTAATTTCAGTTTAAATATATAAATATAATTTTAGTTCACTGTATTAAAAACGTTAAGTATTGAGCAAAATTCAAGAATACTAGGGCTAAGTAAAGTTTTTTATATGATTAAAACAATTGAAATTAACAATTTAAATTTAGTTCTGAAGCATCGCTATAATACGGATTGCTAACGAGGCGGTAGACTGGCTTATAAAGATTCCCTAACGTTACTTCAATATTTTGTATTTTTTTGAATATGCTTATATGTATTTTATGTATTTATATACATACTTGTAGTACGAGTATTTTAGTGGTAAAAAAAAGGACATGTCGAGTCAGAAATTCTCTAATATTTAGTATTTATTTTTATGCAATTTATTGATTATATTGGATGATGGAATTTCGAGTTTTAAATTGCAAAGACTTCAAAATATGAAAACGAAACCTGTTAGTATTCCTATTCCTGAAAAGGCATATTGTGATGCCATATGGCTAGCCTGGGGATTAGACCCGTCTTCCAATTTTCTTTCTCCGCAAATACGCTGATGACTCTCTGTACAAAAGAATGCTCACTTTTAATCACATCCTCTTCAATGTATTTAAGTCTATAATTGATTAAATAACTAATAACTGGCTGGAAAATGAAATTTCCCCATCGAGTCGAATTCGGTATTAGATATTATTATTTTATAGAACTTTGTTCTCTTTACTTTTATTTTAACTTTTTAAGTTCATCGACTGCTTTGTTTGTCAAAAGAAAAGTTCGGGCACCCAAAACTTACTAACTAACCAAACAAAGAAAGTTTTAATAACCCTGGCAAGAGAGGAGTGAATGAAAATCACGCCGAAAACAACAAAGCAACAAAAAGCATTACACCTAATTACACATCTAATATTATGTTAATTGAAGGTTAAATGCTGTAGAGTTTAAAAAAGTAAGTTTTGTTTGATTTTGAATGTTTTTAAACGGATACAGCGATACAGGTTTCTACAAATGCTGTAAAGGGAGAAGGAAGCGTCTTCGACTGAAATAAGTATGTTAAAGGCAATTCGATCTAGACACGTCCGCCTGTCTGTCTGTCTGGATAAATGCTGACCACGTTGACCAAACTGGGAATAATTTCCAGACAACACAAGTTTATTTTTATTTCGCTTTAATTTTCCCCTCATTTTAATTAATACTCTACATTTGTTTTAAATGTAAACAGAAGAGAAGTTATTGGCAATGGCTCGATAACTTATTCGCTAACCGGGCTTGAAATATTAATTGCATGCCTCACACTCGCTGTAGATAGCAAATAAATAGTCTTTAAATAGTCCTATACCCAAAGGGTGAAAGGGTATGCTAGTTATAAATAGAATGTTGCAAAAGTTTGAAATAAACGAATTAAATGTCCCTTTGCAAACAAACCGCAAAAACTACATTTGAATGTTTCGCCCCTTTACACACAGACTCGTACACACTCGTTTATGGTTAGTGAAGAGTAGCGGCAAGGTCAATTAAGGAAATGGGAAGCGAATTCGGAAGCGGGAGTTGCTCCACAAAATAAATTGCTTCAATGCCCATGGCTGGCTTCTGTTGCTGCTGCTGAAGTTGCTCGAGTGCTCGTGTCAGGCTGTGCACGACCGCCTGGGTTTGCCTTGAACTGAATTGCCTGCACAAAACTCACTCAAACACACACACACACACTCACACACACACACATAATTATACTATGTACACGCGCCCACACTCTCTCACGTGCTCTCTATCCGCACAGCAACAAAATGCACCTGCAATGCTGGCGCTTATCAGCTAATTGTTGCAATTGTTGCAATTGTTGCTGCCCTGCAAGTTATAACTGTTAAAAAGTGCCAGTGCTGCCCAATTGGGCGTGCGGGAGTCAATGGCAAATGCAGTTTGCTTTCGTAACTTTTTTAGTTGTGACTGTTGTTGTCCTTTGTGTCTTTGTCCTGTTCAATTAGTCATCGTCAAAAGCGAAAAACTTTTGCCAGGGCAACAAGCACGCACGCACGCACACGAACACGCTCACGCGCATACATACATGGGCAACTAGAGTGTAGCGTGAGGCAGGGCAGTGCAGGGCAGGATGAAAATAGAAGTGGGGATAGAACTGGACAGGACAGGATAGGGCAGGGCAGGGCAGGGCAGGGCTGGGCAGGACAGCCGTTTTCCATTTTGCAATTTCGTTGCCTTTTTAACAATAAAAGTTAATTAAGTGGCAACAAAAGTGTTGGGGAAAACGGAGAGACGTCGTCTGTTGTTGTTGTTATTGTTGTTGACAGCGTCAGTGAGGCTCTTATATAATAATATTCCCCCCCTTGCCATGCACCCCTCAAAAAATAATAAAGCGAACGAACAACACAAAAGATGCATATATATTGTATGTAGATATTCATATGTATGTATGTTTGTTTGTTTGTTTGTTTGCTTGTAACTTTCAACTTTTTACTCACCTAGAAATGTGCGAATGGGGTGTATGTGCGTGTGTGTGGAGGTATGTGTTCGTGCGTTTGTCTGTTGTGCGCTTGGAACTTTTCTGTTGCTTTGTTGTTGTTGTTGTTGTTGCTGCTGCTGCTGCTGTTGTTATTGTTGTCGTTATTTCATTTATGACAGTTGTCTTCTATTGTTGTTGTTGTTGTTGCTGCTGCTGCTGTTTATTGATTTTTTATACTATTTGACGTAGTTTCGTGTGTTGCGCCGAAACACAAAAAACATAAATACATACATACGTCAATCTATGTGTGTGTGTGTTTTATTTAACTGCGTTTAAATGGTAGCTGGCGTCGCAGGGAGCGCACAAATCAATAAATTATAAATGACTAATTCGTGTTGTTGCCGCTGTTTTCTTTCCTCTTCCTCTTCCTTTTTTTTTGGGAGGGGGGTGGCCACTATTCGATGTTACTGTTGTTGTTTATTCTTTATTTTATTACGTTCTTGTTTTTTTTTGTTTTTTATATAATCCTGCGACGACAACGACGACGACGCAAAAAAAAGTAGTAGTAGAATAGAGTTGTAGATAGTAGTAGTAATAGTAGAAGGCGTAGTAGGTAGTTTGGTAGTAAAGTAGTTGTGGACACTATAATTACTAATAGGCGGCTCTACGTGGGCAGCATTTGTCGGCTATTCGGGCTCTCACGCGCACGCACGCACGCACGCACGCACTCACGCACGCTGGCACGCACTCACACCTTCACTCGCAAAGGACAGCGCACACGTACATATGCGTGTACATACGTATGTATATATGTATGTATATATGTATATGTATGTACATAAGCACACACACTCACTCACAGCTGTTTAGTGTGTGTGCGTGTGTGCGTGAGTCTCACGCGTTATTCAATTATCTCGCTCTTTCGCTTTTAAATATATAATGGCAATTATTTGAATTGCTCTAATATATAACATATAATTCTTTTAATTATTAAATGTCCTGAAGGGCTTGCAGTCGCCTTTGACGTTGTGGTTGCTGCTGCTACTGCTACTGTTGTTGTTGTTGTTGTTGCTGCTGTTGCTGCTTCTGTGCTTTCTACTGCGTTTTTCGTTGTCGTAGTTGTTGTTCTTGTTGTTGTTGTAGTTGTTTGTCGTACACATTTCAATTTACAGTTGCGCACGCAAAAAAATTGGCCAAATGGCAATTACGCGATTAATGTTGTACATTCGTAAGGTTTATTTTTCTTGTCTAAAGTTCTGAACTTTTTTTTTTTTTTAGTAGTAGTAGTTGTTTCTGTTGTTGTTGTTGTTGCTGTTACACACGTCCGCTTAGGTGCAACGCGCTACGTTTCTGACTACTGCGCTCCTGCTGTGCCGCCCTATCGATTGCCACTTGCAGGGTCCTTTTTGACAATCGACTAACCGATTGAGCGGCTATAGCTGGCTAATTAATTGACTTGCAAGCTTTGCCAATCAGGATCTTCTTCTGACAATACGGCAGCTCGAGCATTTATGCTTTTCCAACCAAACTCTCAGTTAACAATAAACAACGGTAGCAATGGTGCCGAAAAATATCCTGC